CGACAAGTATTTTCATTGGCTTTTAAATGATACATATATTGTCCATATCGATTTAGTAGGTCCGACTCTAACCCGAGTCTGGACCCATATTTTCTGGTCAATTATCTGGGCATCCGAGACCGTTCCCCAATACTTTCGTGAAATCAAAAAAATCTAGAGTTTTTACTATAATAAAGTTAAGCCGGAAGATATAGGAAAAACCATTGCCCGATGGATCCACATCCAATTTTTCTGTCCAAAACTATTTCAACGTCTCCATATGTAGACTCTAGAAACCAGTGACTTCAATACCAAATTTTAGAGTTTAAACTCTATTCCTTCACCCAATTCGATATTAAGTAACTTTTAGTACACATATCCAAAACAATCTACAACTTTCCATCCTAGACATCAACAATGATTCAAAATTAGTACCATTTATTATTTTTCAAACTACTATAGTAAGAATTTGCAAAATCACCACCAGATAGATAGCTTGGATTTTGATTGAGGCCTCAATATGAAATATCGGAATTCCAGTTCGATCACTTCAATCAATACCCAATGTAGTAACTCTTAGTACTTTTTGAACAATTATAATACACAATTCCAAAAGAAAAACCCTACCTTAAGACACCAACAGTGACATTCATTTCAAATTTCGGGATTTCAGCCCTATTCCAAAAATTGTAGTACACATTTTTCACCAATAAAGGCCTCAATATCAAATTTCGGGATTCCAGCTTCATCACTTCAACGAATACACAATATAGTACCACTAAGCACTTTTCGAACAATTATAGTACACAATTCCAAAACAAATGCCCATCACCCATTACCAAACATAGTACCTTTCAGTACTTTTTGTGCAATTCTATTAGAAATTTTCGAAGCCACCTCCAAATATCCAGGATACACATAAACAGCAACCTTAATACTGAATTTCAGATTTGCCAAGATCTATCTGTTCAACCAATACCAAGTTTCGTACTTTTTTGTACTTTTCGTACAATTACAGTACACATTTCCAAAACCATCTCCATATCTCAATTTCAGATTCCAATTGAACCTCAATCTTAAATTTGGAATTCCAGCCCTATCCCTTCAGCCAATACTGAATTTAGTACCATTTAGTACCTTTTGTAAAAATATATGACATCGGTAAACCAAATATCAAATTTCAAAATTTAACTCTATCTCTTCACTCAATAACAAATATAGTACCATTCAGTACTTTTCGTACAATTATAATACACATTTTCGAAACCACCATATGTCCAGGCTACACGTGAACAGCGACTCTAATACCACACTTCAGATTTCAAACACTATCTGTTCGGCCAATTCCAAATTGTACCAGATTTAGTACTTTTCGTACAAATATAGCATACATTTCCAAAGCCACCTACTTAAATAAATTGCAGGAACCAATAAAGACCTCATTATTAAATTTCAGTATTCCGAATTCTTTATCTTAACTGTACCCACCGGTACGCCAGCATTTCAAATTTCCAGAACATTTCCTTCAACCAAAACAATTTATACCGAAGCTAGTACAAATATATTTTAGTACCATTTAGTACTTATATAAGCACTACTGCCCAAACTTAACAAATGTCAAGAGTTTAGCTGCACCCCTTCACAAAATATCAAGTGTGCGAAAATTAGTGCTTTTTAGTACCTTTAGCACACTTGTAGTTCGAATTTCCTAAAATCCAGCCCCTATCCACCAACATTGACCCACATGGAAATTTTTACGATTTCAGCTTCAGTCGTTTCGCCAGGGCGTTGATGAATCAGTAAGTCAGTCTGTCACTAATTATACCCTCAGCCATATGGCTAGAGAGGATATATATCATTTGATACGGCCAAAACGTGTCTGATGTATCATGTATATGCCAATGTGGTTTTAGACCCTAGGTCCGTCCGTCTGTTTGTCTGGCCGGCTGGTACGCACTATAACTCTCGTAGAGAGTATCCGATTTGGCCCAAACTTTGTACATGGTAATATTATTATCAAAATTAGATCGAGTTCGGAGATGGGCATACCCTCCTACCGGACCTACCCCCCAAAAAGTTCGAAATTAAAAAAAATATATATTTTATGGCACAGAAAGAGAAATGATAATCTAATTTTGCTCCAACTGTTCGAATCCTTTTATTTGCATCAGTGCTAGGTCAGGTGAGAAAATGGACAATATCGGTCCACTCCATCAAGTACCTTCCCCACAAAGGATCAACATTTTGAAAAATTATAACGCTTATTAAATGTGATGTAAGAGTATGCTTGCCTTCAAATTATACACATCCCAATATTTTTATTAACCCAAAGTCTGGTGCTTAGATGATGAATATATCGGTCCACTCTTTCTGGTACCTCCCCCACAAAGGGTCAACATTTTGAATATACATGAAGCTCCTAAATCGCGAAATTATTGGACCATTCTTTCTCGCACCTAACCCCATAAAGTGCCAAAGTTTCGAATAATTAAAACGATTATAGATCCGATATAAGCACGCGGTTCTCTTAATATTTCACACATCTCAAGATTTTCGATAACACAAGATCTGTTGTGAAGATAGCAGACATCGCACCATTCCTTCTGGTACCTCCACCACAAGTGAAGTGAAGTGAATAACCAAACGATCATAAAATTCGAAATAAGCACAAGATCTGTTGTGAAGATGATATATATCTGGTACCACACTCACAAAGGGTGACAATTTTTAAGTAATTTATCATGCCATAACTGCGAAACAAATCAGCGATTCTTTACAACGTGCTATATCTAAATAGTTATCTCAACCAGAAACCTGAGATGAATATGGAATTGATGAACTCTTTATAAATTTGGATATATAGGGTTAGAAGAAAAAAACTGCAATTAACTTCAGACTGCTGTCATATCTAAGCCGACAGCTGGTAAAATTATTCCAGTGATAGCTCATTATATTGTTTAAAAGTGTACAAAAGCATTTTGGTGAGAATTTTCCAGAAAAAAAAAAAGTTATTCGAGTTAAAGAAAGTTAAAGAATTCAAGCGTGAAAGTGTGATTTCTTTATGTTTGACTGGAAAACCACAAGTGGCTATCGTTGGAGAACTCCAGCATTTAAATGTGAATAAATATTTTTTGTCTCGTACTATCGCTGATTACCGTGATACTGTTGGCGTAGCCCGACGTCAAGGAAGTGGACGTAAGAAAACAGCAACATCAGAATAAATGGTTCGAAAAGTAAAAAAGCGACTTTATCGAAACCCGCGTCGCAGTGGCCGAAAAATGGCTCGTGAGCTGAACATATCGCAAAATTCCATTCGGCAAATATTAAAAAATAAGCTCGGGGTAAAGCCATTGTAATTCAAGAACTTACATCGCAACAGAAAGAAAATAGACTCAGAAGAGCTAGAGTTGCTTCGCTTGGCCGAAAGTGGTGAAAAAAAATGATCGTGTTTACTTGCAAAAGAGGTCAGCTGAAAATGTGCACCTTCGGTTGGCTCCAGAACCCAAGCCCCGACCATGGTGATGGTGTGGGTCGCCATAGCAGCCGTTGTCCGTCCGCTCTCCGCTCGTATTAATCGACCGTGGCATCAGAATAAACGCCGAATATTATCGCGAAAATATTCTGGAGGGTGTATTAAAGCCTTGGGCAAGCAAACAGTTTGAACGCAGACCTTGGACATTCCAACAGGACTCAGCACTATCGCACTCAGCACGCGCCACCCAAGAATAATTACAAAACGAGGTTCCTCGCTTCATTTCCAGCACACAATGGCCACCAAAATCTGCGGATACCAATCCGTTGGACTATTGTGTCTAGAGTATTTTGGAAAGCAAGGTTGGCACTAAAAAATACCAAAGTGTCGATCACCTCAAGTAAGCGCTTCGCCGGGATTGGGCCAAAATACCGCAGAGCAACATTCATTGGCCTTTTGAAGACCATAATTAGTGCCAAAGGTGACCAATTCGAACAAATCTAAACTTATTCTAAAAATTGATGCTATTTCCGACATTTTTTGCTTTCATTCAATAAAATTAAAAAAAATTTAAAAATTATGGCATTTGACTTTGTTGCAGTTTTTTTTATCTCACCCTGTCGGCAAAACCGACTGAAAGTTTTTAACTTGTTTAATTTGTTTTCAAAATAAATCCGCTTTGTTGTTATCATTTGAAACCCAAATCTGATTATTGATTTAGGTTATTCTCAAAATTAAATTCCCAGAACTGTTCTTGTTTAATACATCACGACGACTTAACAAATTAAATAATACTCCCACACATTTCGATTTTGTTTTCAAATTTTTTAAATCGAATATGATACAATATTGCGGTCGTACGCCAGACACGTTCTTAGTGAGAGATTTAAAGGAGTGGTTTTTTTTATTAATTCGCTTTGTTATTATTGTTGGACATGTTTGAAGACGTTTATGCGTATGTATGTATAGATAATAGCAGATGGGGAATTTACGTATGGTAAATGCTGAATGAAAGACGCAAATCAGTTTAATTGTTCGCTCGCTATCTTGGGGAAGTAACCGATTTAGTTGCACAGGGTAATATTTGCACTAAAATTAAGGAAGGCGAAATTTTCCCAATTTATGCTATTCCCCAACATCTCGATGTATGTAAAGCTTGCTTGTTAGCTTAATATATATGATTAGTCGAACATTTATTATGTATGGGAATCTTCGACCTGACCCATTGCTATAGCACAGATACTGGACGTTGTCAATAGCACATAGTGGTCCGATCTTTAGCATATTTATAACAGAGCTTTGTCATAAACAGCGAAATATTTCTACATTTTTTTTAAACCTCGTCCACATATTTCAATATTAGATACTCAGCCATATGGTTGAGGGTATAAAAAGTGTTTTCTTGAATATTTTGAGGAAGTCAGCATTTCTTTCGAAGTTCTTCTGTAACTACTTGTGGATTGGATGTTAATTATTTTCGCATTAAATACACATAACGAAAAATCAAAAATCATAACACTTAATTATTTAAATTCCCACAAATTATATTTTGCCGTATGATTCTCAGAAAAAAAATCTCGAAAACATCTTTTTTCACATTTCAAAAATTCTTCACACAAAATGTTCACTCTCCAACATCTCCACTTTCGTAGACACAATGATGGCTGCACTCCGACAAGGTACACCAACGATTATCATTGCCGCCATAGCCCTTGTACTGCATCTGTTCACACTGGCGTGTCTCCTTGCTGTAGTACCACATGCGGCGGCCAACATAGCCCTCCTTTTCGGTGCCCTCGTCCTTGTCCTCATGGCAAGAGGGGGTGCCTAAAAATTTTGAAAATTATTTTCCTTTTTTTATTGCTTTCAAACGAAGTTTACTAACGTGGTCTTCCAATGCAGCCGCCATGAATCAGTGCCGCCAGAACGACAATTAGGAATGCAGCAAATAAAATCTTCATCTTCTTCTTTGTTTTTTTCTTCTTCTTTCAACTCTATATTCTGAATGCGTCGAATGTGTTGTTCAATTTCGAAATGAAGATCTCATCGTAGATGACGCAGTATTTATAGGAATGCCAGAGCTTTTGAAGTCATCGTCATTTTTTTCTTGATTCTTTATAGAGAAAGCTAAGTTTGCTATTTGAATGATAAAAAAACCAGTAAAGAAAGTCTTAAAGTCTGGCGGGGCCGACTTTATGATACCCTACACCACTTTGCTAATTTAGTAGACAATTATATAACAATTAAAAGTCTTTATGGCAGAATTCAATCATACACGCTATGATCATAATCATAACTTAAAGTTCAAAGGACTAAATATGCCGAAGCATTTGTATCTTTAAAATTCAGAATTGTATTGCCCATTTGGATAAAGATATATATGGGAGCTATATCCAAATCTGAACCGACCTCGATAAAATTTGGCAAAGATATTTCTCAGCTGTATTTGATATATTTCCCTGAATATCGTTGTTACGGAGTGCATATTACGGCGGCGGTGGACAAAAATAACAAATCGGATGAACAATATATATGGGAGCTATAGCTATATCTGAACCGATTTCCATCAAATTTGGCATACTAGCTTCTAGACTCAATAGACTCGTAAGTGCCAAATTTCATCCCATTTGGACAAATATTAGACGTTTGGTGCACAATAAAAAGTAAATCGGACGAAGTTATATATGGGAGCTATATCCAAATCTGAACCGATCTCGATAAAATTTAGCAAAGATATTTCTGAGCTGTATTTGATATATTTCCCCAAATATTGTTGTTGCAGAGTGCATATTACGGCGGCGGTGGACAAAAATAACAAATCGGATGAACAATATATATGGGAACTATAGCTATATCTGAACCGATTTCGATCAAATTTGGCATACATATTTTCAGGCCTAATATATGCAAAATTCCATACAATTCGGGACGTTTGGTGCGCAATAAAAAGCAAATCGGACGACGATATATATGGGAGCTATATCTAAATTTTGGCCGATTATTTCCAGTTTCAATAGGGTTCATCCTTGGGCCAAACAAATGATCTGTGCAAAATTTCATCTGGATCGGGCAATAAATGCGACCTGTACTTTGTTTACAAAAATACATGGACAGACGGACGGACGGACATGCATAAATCGACTCAGAATGTGATTCTATGCAGATCATCAAAAGGAACTATGGGTCTATCTCGTTTCCTTCTGCCTGTTACAAACAAATGCACAAAGACATAATACCCTGACCACCTTGTGGTGTAGGGTATAAAAACAAAATATGGGGTTGATTCCAGATGCAGGTAGCAAAAAATGGTGTTCGGAAGGAAATCAACGAATAATAGACACACTTCGGACTTATTTTTAAAATTACTATTTTGATTCTATTGTAAGAACACATAAGAATATGCATAAATTCGAAATCGAGAGTATATCCAGATTAAAAAACTAAATCAGAATTAGTATGAAAATATTTATGATTGCTATGCTCCAAAATCTCGATGTATGTACGGCTTACTTGTTAGCTTAATATATATCATTAGTCGAACATTTTTTTATGTATTGGAATCTTCGACCTAACACATTGAGATAGCACAGATACTGGGCATAGTTAACATGCTATTTTCAGGAAATACGCAGAAGAATTTGGAGCGATCAGATAACATATCTTGTGTTGATAGAAATATCTGGATTTACCCAGTCTGAATGGAATCGGATGTTGATTTCGCGTTTTATGAGTTTCGTGGATATACAAAATTTTAAACCTTTACGGGGGTAGACCGATAAATTCCATCTTCACAGCAGATATTGTGTCAAAAGATTTAATGGGATGTGTGAAATATGAAGAGAACCGGATGTTTATTTCGGGTCTATAATCGCTTTGGTTATTCAAAACTTTGACAATTTGAAGAGGCGTGCGAGAAGGAATGGTCCGATCTCTACCATCTTTATAACAGATCTTGTGTTGATGGAAATATTGAGATCTGCCAATTCTGAAAGGAATCGGATATTAAATTCGCTCCGCGGATATGCAATATGTTGACCCTTTATGGGGAATATACAAGAACGAGTGGATAGATTAATCCCATCTTCGCAGCAGATCTTGTGTTAATAGATGGGATGTGTGAACTATGAAGAGAATCGGATGTTTATTTCGGATTTTGTAATCACTTTGGTTATTCGAAACTTTAACCCTTTTTGAGGGAGGTGCCACAAAGAATGGTCCAATCTCTACCATCTTTATAACAGTTTTTGTGGTGATAGAAATATTGAGATGTGCAAAGGCTAAATGGAACTGGATGTTAACTTCGCGTTTTATGAGATTCATGGATATTCAAAATTTACCAGGCCGATATATTTCATCTTCATACCAGACCTTGAGATTGCAAAAAACTGACAATCGGATTCTTACTTCACATTTTATAAGAGTTATAATTATTCAAAATGTTGACCCTTTGTGGGGGAGGTACTTGTTCGAGATACGAGAGTTATCGTGCGCACCTGTCAGACAGAAGGACGGACGGAGGGACATCGCTAGATCGACTTCAAATGTCCTTAAACCGATTTGGTCCAAAGAGGCCTAGGGTCTAAAAATGTTATTTCGATGAGGTACGTTTTGTCCGTATCAAATGATATATACCCTCTCTAGCTATATGGCTGCGCGAGAATTTCGAAAGCTTCCTACATACCTCAATCCTAAACTCCCAATTGCAAATTGCCGATGCTCGCTCTCCGCTCGTATTAATCAAACGTGGTATCAGAATAAATGCCGAATATTATGGCGAAAATATTTAGCAGCGTGTATTAAAGCCTTGGGCTCAGCACGCGGTTCCTCGCTTCATTTCCAGCGCACAATGGCCACCAAAATCTCCGGATACCAATCCGTTGGACTATTGTGTCCGAAGTATTTTTGAAAGCAAGGTTGGCACTAAAAAATTCCAAAGTGTCGATCACTTCAAGCAAGCGCTTCGCCGGAAATGGGCCAAAACACCGCGGAGCAACATTCAAGCACCGTGCGACGGTTTCATTGGCCGTTTGAAGGCCATAATTCGTGCCAAAGATGACCAATTCGAACAAATCTAAACTTATTCTAAAAGTTGTTGCTATTTCCGACATTTTTTGCTTTCATTCAAAAAAAATTTAAAAAAAATTAGAAAAATATGGCATTTGACTTTGTTGCAGTTTTTTATCTCTCCCTTTATATTTTCAGGATACCGTCTCTATTGTTCTCCCAAAATTTACATTGTACCAAATTTAGTATCATATAGTACACATAAGTATGAATTTTTTAATCTTCTTACCTCAAACCTAGAATGCAATGAATTTCTAAATATTAGAATTTCAACTGTATCGGTTCACTTAAATCGTACCAAAATTGTACCAAAATTAGCACCACTTAGTACTTTTCATGCACTTAAGAACAAATTTCGAAAACTTCCTACACATGCCAATCCTACACTCCTCGAAAAATGTTAATTTCATTTTTCAAGTTTCGAGCTCCATCCGTTTATTATAGTTTAGTACATTTCATATACATGAATACACTTTTTCAACGCTACCTCCTTATATCGACTCTACTCCCCAACTTTGATCCCCATTCCAAATTTTAAGTTTTTAGCTTTAACCGTTCACATGATACGAAATTGTACCAAATATAGTACATTTTAGTACTTTTCGTTCGGTGAGAATTTCCAAAATACCTTTGGCACATCTATCATACACCCCATCAGCTACCCTCTCTCCAAATGTAAGATTTCTGGCTCTACTGCTTTCTCAAATACAGAGGGTACCATTTATAGCACATTTTAATACTTTTCGTATGTGTCGGATGGTCGGTAGGAAAATATGGCCAAGACCCACGAATCAATTGACTCATATTTTATTCCCTTCATGGATTTGGCGATATTTCAATTTTTTGCTTTTTCCTGCCAGGAACTAGGACAGTGAAAGGCACCAAGAGGTCGACTTATTCTTTTTGTTAAAGTTTGACGAACTTGCTGGGAAACGTACATACTAAAAACCAGGCTTTTTTCCCATTTCATACCATTTACAATCGTTCCCATAAGAATCTTCTTCCACTTTTCCTGATCAACTAGAGTTTAATGCACTTCCTTAATAAATTAAATAAATCCAGTTGGTCTCAATTCAGTAGCTTACTTTAACAATTAACACATTCTGTTGGCTACCAAAACTCGTAAATAATTTAGCCTATGGGTGTTCGCCAAGAGAAACAAGTTTGATACACAGGTAACAAAAAGTTGAAAAATGTTTAATCATGGCCTTCGGTGTTCTTGACCATTGTTTGGTGACCAGTTTTAAAATCTCTGTAAAGATTGAAGGCATGCAACATTAGATACAATTGAACTTTAAAGAAAATACAACATAACCGATGGACACATTCTTGACGCAATAATTGAATAATTCTTGGTAACTAACAATAAAATAATTGAAATGATAATGCCCACATGTGTTTGGATGGCTACATGATTTACAGTGGGATAGAAAAACAATTCCTACTAACTGAGTTCTTTCTTAAATGAGGGACTGAGGACTTTTGGATTTTTTGAAGAATATTTTTTTTCAAGGACTAACAGATGTGGATTTTTGAAAGAATATTTTTTTTCAAGGACCAACAGACTTTAATTTTTTAAAGAATATTTTTTTCAAGGACCAACAGACGTGGATTTTTGAAAGGATACTTTATTACAAGGACCAACAAACGTGGATTTTTAAAGAATATTTTTTTTCAAGGACCAACAGACGTGGATTTTTTTAAGAATATTTTTCAGGAATCTAGAGACGTGGATTTTTTAAAGAGGTTTTTTTTCAAGGAACAACAGATGTGGATTTTTTGAAGAATATATTTTTTCAACGACAAACAGACATGGGTTTTTTAAGAATATTTTTTTCAAGGACTAACAGACATGGATTTTTTAAAGAATATCTTTTTCAAAGACCAACAAACGTGGATTTTTTAAAGAATATTTTTTTCAAGAACCAACAAACGTGGATTTTTTAAAGAATATTTTTTTCAATGACCAACAAACGTGGATTTTTTAAAGAATATTTTTTTCAAGAACCAACAGACGTGGATTTTTTAAAGAATATTTTTTTTTTCAAGAACCAACAGACGTGGATTTTTTAAAGAATATTTTTTCCAATGACCAACAAACGTGGATTTTTTAAAGAATATTTTTTCCAATGACCAACAGACGTGGATTTTTTAAAGAATATTTTTTTCAAGGACCAACAGACGTGGATTTTTTTAAGAATATTTTTTTCAAGGACCAACAGACGTGGATTTTTTTAAGAATATTTTTTTCAAGGACCAACAGACGTGGATTTTTTAAAGAATATGTTTTTCAAGGACAAACAAACGTGGATGTTTTAACGAATTTTTTTTTTCAAAGACCAACAAACGTGGATTTTTTAAAGAATATTGTTTCAAGGACCAATAGACATGGGTTTTTAAAGAATATTTTTAAAGGACCAACAGATGTGGATTTTTTTAAGAATATTTTTTTTGTCAAGGACCAACACACGTGGATTTTTTAAAGAATATATTTTTTCAAGGACCAATAGACATGGGTTTTTAAAGAATATTTTTAAAGGACCAACAGATGTGGATTTTTTTAAGAATATTTTTTTTGTCAAGGACCAACACAGGTGGATTGTTTAAAGAATATATTTTTTAAGGACCAATAGACGTGGATTTTTTAAAGAATATTTTTTTCAAGGACCAAAAGATGTGGATTTTTTAAAGAATATATTTTTTTAAGGACCAGCAAATGTGGATTATTTAAAGAACATTTTTTCAAGGACCAACATACGTTAATTTTCGAAAACATATTTTTTTCAAGGACCAACACACTTGAATTTTCAAAAGAATATTTTTTCAAGGATCAACAGATGTGGATTTTTGAAAGAATATTTTTTTCTGGAAAACAAAATTTTTCATTAATTGAGGCCTGATTTTTTTATAGCAACTTTTATCCCGTTTTTGCCCCACTGTGTCATTCTACCCAAACACACTAGATTATCGAAACCTCTCGATGACATGGCACATGCCACAACATTTATTTGATAGAACTATAAATAGACCATAATTATTTTTGTTAATGTATCAGTTTCTTATTGGAGTTTCATTGTGTGAATTCAAATTAAGAAATTTGTCAGCCAAAATGTTCAAATTGGTAATTAAGAACTCAGGAAATAAAACCTAATACCAGAAATAACAAATTTTTGTCCCTTTATAGATTTTCGTAACAGCTTTAATTGCCCTGGCTCAGGCCTATCCTGGTTTGCTTACAGAGGAGTTGGTCTTGGGTACGGTGGGACATAATATCCATGCCGTTCCATCGGCTTATAGCAGCCATAGTCAAACAGTTGTCCACGGCAGGACAAATGTTGTCAGCGACCTTGCAGCCCCTGCCGTGCCTGTGGAGACCACTATTTCTGCTGTCAGTGTCAACTCAGTTAGCGAAAATGTGGCTGGCCACCCTGTGGTGGACGTACCTTCCGAGGCAGAGGTAAAAGCAAATAGTAATTTTGAATCCACCGAATCTGCTTCGGCTCCCCAAGAACCTCTAACTAAAACTGCTGAAGTCAAGTCCGTGGAAAATGCTGTGGAAACCTCAACCCCCAAAGCCGAGCAAGAAAATTCAGAAGCTGCCAATGTAAAGTCTTCGGAAAATGGTGATGATACTGCCTCGGTAGTAAGTGCCGAATCTGCTAATGCCAGTGCCCCAACTGCAGCTGAAGTTCCAGTGGCAAGCCTTCCCTCCGCTGTCGTAGCACCCACTGTTGTCAGTTCACCAGTTTTCACTCCAGCCGCTGTTGTTGCTGTACCACCCTCAGAAATATCCTTTCATGGAACTCCTTTGCTGAAGAGCTTGGCTGCCGCTTCCACCACCCTACATGCATATGTAGAGACACCAATTGCTGTGGTCCATTAGAGTTTGTGAAATCGAATAATTGAATTAAATAAAAATTTATAGAATATTACAGCTTATTCTTTTAAATCTAAAAGCTTTCAAAGCTGAAATCCAAAATTAAGAGATTAAGGCAGAAAAATATCTGCCGTTAATGAACCTAAGTATATTTTTCTAAAAAAAAAAAATCAAGTTTTTCTTTTAACATCTGTTTGTCCTTAAAAAAATATTCTTTAAAAAATTCACATCTCTGTGTCCTTGAAAAAAAAATATTCGTTTAAAAATCCACGTCTGTCTCTTGGTCCTTGAAAAATTAATCTTCATAAAATTCACGTCTGTTGGTCCTTAAAATAATATTCTTTAAAAAAATTACGTCTGTTTGTCCTTGAAAACATATTCCTAAAACAAATCCACTTGTGTTGGTCCTTGGAAAAAATATTCTTTAAAAAATTCACGTCTGTTGGTCCTTGAAAAAATATTCTTTAAAAAATTCACGTCTGTTGGTCCTTGAAAAAATATTCTTTAAAAATCCCACGTCTATTGGTCACTGAAAAAAATGCTTTAAAAAATCCATCCTCCGTCTGTTAGACCTTTAAAAGAATATTCTTTAAAAATTCACGTCTGTTGGTCCTTGAAAAAAAATTTCCTTTAAAAAATCCACGTCTGTTGGTCCTTGAAAAAAATATTTTTTTTTAAAAATTCCACGTCTGTTGGTTCTTGAAAAAACATATTCTTTAAAAAATCCATGTCAGTTTGTCCTTCAAAAAAATATTCTTTAAAAAATCCACGTCTGTTGATCCTTGAAAAAATATATTTTTTAAAAAATTCCACATCTATTGGTCCTTGAAAAAAATATTTTTTAAAAATTCACGTCTGTTGATCCTTAAAAAAATATTTTTAAAAAATCCACGCCTGTTGGTCCTTGAATAAAATATTTTTAAAAAATCCACGCCTGTTGGTCCTTGAATAAAATATTCTATAAAAAATCCACGTCAGTTGATCCTTGAAAAAATCCACGTCTGTTGGTTCTTGAAAAAATCCACGTCTATTGGTTCTTGAAAAAAAAATATTCTTTAAAAATCCACGCTCTTTAAAAAATCTGAAGGTCCTTGAAAAAAATATTCTTTAAAAAATACACGCTTGTGGGTCCTTTAAAAAAGTATTCTTTAAAAAATTCACGCCTGTTGGTCCATGAAAAAAATATTCTTTAAAAAAACCACGTCTGGTGGTCCTTGAACAAAATATTCTTTAAATCTCCACGTCTGTTGGTCGTTGAAAAATATATTATTTAAAAAATCCACGTCTGTTGGTCCTTGAAAAAAAATATTCTTTAAAAAAAAAATTTTCTTTAAAAATCCAGGTCCGTTGGTCCCTGAAAAAAATTCTTTGTGTCCTGATTTTTTATAGAAAAAATGCATTCAACAGTGAGGCCAGATTTTTTCTATAACAAAAAAAATGCCTCCGGTGCTGAGGCCAGATTTTTTTCCAAAGAAAAAATGGTTTTTCTTTCGAAAAAAATGGCTCAATCACTGAGGCAAAATCATCATGGCGGGAAATTTTGCTACGAAGAATTCCTCCTCAAAAAAAAAAAAAATAACTCCGGCACTGAGGCCAATTATTTTTTAGAAAAAAATTACTTCGACACTTAAGCGAGATTTTCTTCTACAGAAAACGAAAATGCTCTCGACACTGAGGCTAGATTTTTTTTTACAGGAAAAGTTTTTCCGACACTGAGGCCAGATTTTTTTCCATAGAAAAAGTGCCTTTCATAGAGAGCTTTCGCAAAGATAGTGCTGAGAGCAAGGTTTGTTAAAGGTGATGAGATAAGAGCTGACTATAAGCAACGAGCCTTCTAAGAATTTGAAGATTACCACAAATTTGGACTCCTTTGAATAAAACCTTTCAAGGAGGTTTTTCTTTAAAGATATTTTTAAGCTCCCCCAAACCCCAATTTGAGGAATGAAAAAATCAAAAAGTTTTTAATTTAACAGACTCATTTTATTTAAAGCAATAGATAACAGCGATCATCTTGAAATATCCATTAAATTACATTTAATGGAAAGCAGTATAGGCAACGGGAGCAGAGACAACAGTCTTAACCAAAGGAGCAGCATGGACAACTGGGGCAGCAGCGTAGGTGTGAACTACAGGAGCAGCCACAGTCTTGACAACAGGAGCGGCAGCATAGGTGTGAACAACAGGGGTGGCAACAGTTTTAAGGACAGGAGCAGCAGCATAGGTATGGACTACGGGTGCGGCGGCAACAGTCTTGACCACAGGAGCAGCAGCTACGGTATGAACAACTGGAGTGGCAATGGTCTTGACAACGGGAGCAGCAGCCACGGTGTGGACCACAGGGACTTTTCTCTCCAAATTGGTGAAACTTTGATGGGTAATGGCCGAGGAGGCACTGGTATCAACATAGGCTGTCTTGGTCACCACAGGCTGGACAACATGATGGGTTTGGGTAACCAAACCAGGGGCAGCAGCGGCAACAGCCACGAAAGCAAAGAGGGCAACAAATTTGAACATTTTGAAAAAAGGTGGAGTTGATTGCTTGATTTCACAATGAGAATGAAATGGAACTGATGATATGCCAAGGGAATCACTTTGATTTTATACCAAATAAAAAAATTGCTCAGTGCATGAAACCATGTGCTGCTACGTTGGAAATAGTTGAAGGGCATTTTCAACCGGTTTCCAAAATCTCCATTTGCGTTTATGACACTAAGTACCAAGATCAGGTACGTAGTTTTTTTATTATCACAGAGTTCTTGCCGATTGCCCACAAGTACCAAAAAATTAAAGAAAAAAAAGAAGAAAAATAAAATCAAAACAAAAGAACATAAGCTTCTGGTATTTACTGCCCTGTTGTGTGTTATCAAACATATGACACCAACGAAAAACCTGAATCTCTTGAGAATTGGGAATGAATGAAATTTTTTTTTGTAGAATCAATACAAAATAAACAATAAGTACCTTACCGGAACTTTTGCGTACAACCAAAAATAGAATTTAGAATATTATTAGTTATAGGAAAACAAAAAAAAAAAACAGATTTTATGGCTACAAATCCCGATATAGATAAATAAATGTCATTGTTTTTGTCTACAATTTCAGTGACAAGACAATGGCTTCGGAATGACATGACGCATGCAATGACTTAGACATTTAAGATTTTTGATTTACCATTGATAATTTTGGGCCAAAGTCCTGTAGTTCCGCTTTCAATAGGCTGGAATTTTTGGATTTTTGTTAACCATAATAGTCATAATATTGGAAAATCGGACGAAAAAATATGAAAATGGGTAGTTATTTCGGCATAGCTGAAAATTTCTAAAAAAAAAAAAAATGTTATATCTCCAAAAAAGTTAAAAATATTGAGAAAAAATAAAGGACACAAGTTAGCAAAAATCAAGTTCAACCCAGCACAATTGTTAATTGGAGGGTATATTAAGTCCATCATTCCGTTTGTAACTCATCGAAATAATCATTTCAGACCCAACAAAGTATATATATTCTTGATCAGAGTAAAATTCTAAGACGAATTAGCCCTGTCCGTCCGTCTGTTGGCTTCACGCAACAGGCTAAACGAATTAAGATAGAAAGCTAAACTTTTACCCAGATCTCGAAGATGGGCTATATCGGTGATCAATATCGTATAGCCCCCATATAACGGTACCCCCGATATCCGGTATTTTGATGATTTTAGCCACATTTTTCAGCAGTTCTTTGTGAGTACTTTATCCGTTGGCTGAGAATTATCAATATAGGTCCACGATATCGTATAGCCCCCATTTAACGGCATCCCCCGATATTCGATATTTCGATGATTTTAGCAGCATTTTTCGACGGCATTGTCTAAAATTCTACACAAGGGGTTCCTTGTGAGCACTTTACCCCCTGAAAGGGAATTGTCTATATAGGTCCAAAATATCGTATAAACCCCATATAACGGTATCCCCCGATATTCGGGATTTTGATGATTTTAGTCGCATTTTCCAATGGAATGGTCTGACAATCCTCACAACGAGTTCCTTGTTAGTACTTTATTCATTGAAAGAGAGTTATCTATATAGGTCCACGATACCACACAGTCCACATATAACAGTACCCCCCGATATTCGGTATTTTGATGATTTTAGCCACATTTTTCAACGGAATTGTCTGAAATTCTACACAAGGGGTTCTTTGTGAACCTTTTACCCCCTGACAGGGAGTTCCATGATATCGTATATCCCCCATATAACGGTACCCCCGATATTCGGTAGTTTGACGATTTTAGCAACATTTTTAAACGGAATTGTCTTAAATTCTATACAAGGAGTTATTTGTGAGTACTTTATCCCTAGACATAGATTTGCCTTTATCCCCCCAATATATCGACACATTCCGAGATTTTAACAGATTTTTAATGGATTTTAATTTTATTTTTTGAAAATATTTTAATTCGTTCCAAATGGTGGAGGGTATCAAAGTTCGGCCCGGCCGAACTTACTACTTTTTTACTTGTTTTTTTTCGATTTTAAGAAAGATATCAAAAAGATTTTAACGACAAAAATGAGCACAAACCGATTACAATTAAGAATATTTTGTTTTTTTTTTTTTTTTTCATTAACTCGAAAATTGTACTTCATTCCGATTTTTTTCGAAAAAAAAAATTTTTCGAATAACTCAGATTTTTTTTTCGAATTTCGAAAATCGACACTTTCCTTTTTTCGAAATTCGAAAATTACAATTCCAACGGACACCATATGCCAACATCGACATTAAAAATGTATACCTAGAATATTTTTCCGAATAATATATCAAAATACTAAAAAGTTGACACATCGAGTGATATCGGAATTCAATATTCAAACCAGTTTCATTATTTATGAAATCAGTTAAAGTATGCTATATAAGGCTTCAAAAAGTGATGATAAAGTAGGCTATACTGGCATATATTGACCAGTTCTGCCACAGGATTTAGAACTCATTACGGTCACTGAATAACGAATTTTAAACAATCCTCTTATGGCTTAAATTGTCAATATACAGAATACCAGAAGGTACCGCAATATGGGGGCTACAATAAAATGTGGACCGACATAATTTACTTCGGAGCTATATTAAATAGTGGAGTCACAATACAAACTTTTTGCATTTAGTTTTTATATCATCTGAGATCCTGAAATCATTTTGAATCATGAGGTAACCAACAACCAGAAAAAATGTCATTACCAAAAATTGGTTCTATAATGTACTTCATGAAGTATACACCGTTTTCTTATTCCTCGATATTAAATGCTGTTAAAAATTATAGCTTATTATACTAACAGTATATCGAAATGTGGAAAACACCCTTTTATGAGGAATATACCAAAATGTGAAACTAGATGAAGTATTTTGCAGCAAATTTATTGAAAACGTCTGGAACTATTGAAAATCTAGTCGACATTTATTAAACATTTTTCGAGGAAATTTTCAAAACACTAGTATTTAAAAATATTAACATAGATAGATTTTCATTGAATGCTGCCTTTGTAGGTCTTTCAAAAATTATTCTTTAAAAATTTCACGTCTGTTGGTTCTTGAAATAAATATTCTTGAAAAAATCCACGTCTATTGGTCCTTAAAAAAATATTCTTTAAAAAAACACGTTTGTTGGTCCTCAAAAAACAATTATCTTTAAAAAAATCCGCCTCTGTGGGCATTTATTAAACATTTTTCGAGGAAATTTTCAAAACATTAGTATTTAAAAATATCAACATAGATAGATTTTCATCGAATGCATGGTGAGATGGAAAAATTGCAACCAACTTCAGACTGCTGTCATTTCAAAGCCACTCGTCCGACAGCTGTTAAAATTATTCCAGTGACAGCTCATTATATTGTTTACAAGCGTACAAAAGCATTTTGCTGAGAATTTTCAAGAAAAAAAGTTATTCGTGATGGAATTCAAGCGTGATTTCTTTATATTTGACTGTAAAACCACAAGTGGCTATCGTTAGAGTACTCCAGCATTTAAATGTGAATAAATCTTTTGTGTCTCGTACCATCGCACGTTACCGTGATACTGGTAGCATAGCCCGACGTCAGGGAAGTGGACGGAAGAAAACAGAAACATAAGCAGAAATGGTTCGAAAAATAAAGAAGCAACTTGATCGAAACCCGCATCGCTGTGGCGGAAAAATGGCTCGTGAGCTGAACATATCGCAATATTCCATTCGGCAAATACTGAAAAATGAGCTCGGGTAAAGCCATTAAAATTCCAAAAAGTGCAAGAACATACACTGCAACAGAAAGAAGATAGTCTTAAACGAGCTCACGAGTTGCTCCGCTTGGTCGAAAGCGGTGAACTGTCGAATTTGGTTTTCTCCGATGAGAAAACATTCATTGTCCAGCAGTTTGTAAACAAACACAATTATCGTGTTTACTTGCCAAAGAGGTCAGCTGAAAATGTGCACCTTCGGATGGCCACAAAAACTCAACAGCCGGCCATGTTGATGGTGTGGACCGTCATAACAGCCGACTGTCACTCTCCGCTCGTATTAATCGACCGTGGAGTCAGAATAAAGGCCGAATATTATCACAAAAATATTCTGGGGGTGTATTAAAGCCTTGGGCACGCATACATTTTGGCCGCAGACCTTCGACATTACAACAGGACTCAGCACCATCGCACTCAGCACGCGCCACCCAAGAATATTAACAAAATGAGGTTCCTCGCTTTATTTCCAACGCACAATTGGCATCAAAATCTTGCGATACCAATTCGTTGGACTATTGTGTCTGGAGTATTTTGGAAAGCAAGGTTGGCACTAAAAAATAACAAAGTGTCGATCACCTCAAGCAAGCGCTTCGTCGGGAATGAGCCAAAATACCGCAGGGCAACATTCGGGCAGCGTGTGACGGTTTCATTGATCGTTTGAAGGCCATAATTCGTGCCAAAGGTGACCAATTCGAACAAATCTAAACGTATTCTAAAATTTAATGCTATTTCCGCCATTTTTTGCTTTCATTCAATAAAATTTAAATAAAAATTAAAAAATTATGGCGTTTGACTTTGTTGCCGTTTTTTATCTCACCCTGTAATATCATACTCTTGCTAAGTACGACCCATGTTAGAAAAATAAAGGTAGATGCATCAACGCTAAAATTTTTAAGATGTTTTGTCAAAAATAAGTAGATTTTTACGTGTTTTCTCATACGACACAAATGGGAGGTTGTGATGATACAGGGTTGTCCATATTCGACGGACCCTTCTGGCAACGCCATAACTTTTGACAGAGATGTCACATCGCTTAATGACATACCGCGTTTGAAGCGTCAGTCCAAGCAGATTTTTACTATGAACCAATACACGCCACGCGAGCGCTCTGAAATAGTTGAAATTTACAAGAAGTCAATTGTGAAAACTCAACGTGCTTTTAAAACATTAAAAAAATGTGAGAAGTGTGCCTTCTAAGAACACCATTAAGCGTTTATACGAAAAATTTTCGACTGGTAAGGCTCTTTCTAATCCGAAGAGGCCATATAAAAGTCGACCAAGGCGATCGGCCGAGAATATCGCTGCCGTACGAGCCAGTGTTGAGAGGTCCCCAAGAACATCCCAAAAACGCCGTTCGCAGCTGTTGGGCATAGCTCGCTCCACTTTACAACGGATTATTCGCATTGATTTGCATTTGTTCCCGTACAAAATTCAATTGACGCAAAGAATGTTGCCTGCGGACAAGCCTCGTCGATTGGAATGGGCCCAAAAAAAAACATGGGTCCGTCGAATATGGGCAACCCTGTACATTTTGTAACATCACGAATTAATCATTTGCGACCCTATGAAGTATATATTTTCTTGATCCACAGTTAATTTCATGAAATGATAATAGGAGCCGCAATATTTAGGAAAGGACTTTCAAAAGTGGCACTGACATTAATTTACTGCTAGGATTTTTGAAATTGATCCACTGCTGCTTATGTTCCCAATATCTTTATATTCGGTACTTTAACGACACAATTCTGCTGTAATATGACATTTTGTGGTTCTGTGGAATGTAGAACTGCAAAAAAGTTTTTTAGCAGGTCCATGCTTTGGTATAGCCTTCATTATATTATAGTACCCAGTTATAGGTATTTTGAGGATCATAGTCATCCTTTTCAACTGACTGGCTTTAAATTTGGTTTTTTGGGATCGAAATTAAAAAAAAAACCGAATATTAAGTTATTGGCATTCCAGGACATTGGACTTGGACCTAATTGAAACTATAACCCCTTTTTTAAAAGTGATATGTGAAATTTGAAGAGAGTTGGATGCTTATTTCGGATTTTATGATCGTTTTGGTTATTCAAAATGTTAACCCTTTGTGGGGGAGGTACCAGAAGGAATGGTCCGACCTCTACCATCTTTATAACCGATCTCGTGTTAATGAAAATGTTGAGATGTACCAAGTCTGGATGAAATCGGATGTTAATTTCGCGACTTATGAGCTTCGCAGATATTCAAAATGTTGACCCTTTGTGGGGGAGGTACCAGAAAGAGTGGACCAATATATTCCATCTTCACGGCAGATCTTGTGTTAGTAGAAACAATAGAATGTGTGAAATATGAAGAAAATCGGATGCTTATTTCGGATTTTATAATCGTTTTGGATATTCAAAACTTTGACCCTTTACCAGAAGGAGTGGACCCATCTTCACACCCCACCTTGGGTTAATAAAAATATTGTGATGCATGTAATTTGAAGGAAATCGGACTCTTACATCACATTTAATAATAGTTATAATTATTCAAAATGTTGACCCTTTGTGGGGGGAGGTACTTGATGGAGTTGACTTATATTGTTCATTTTCGCACTTGACATAGAACTGATGCAAATATAAGAATTCGCAAAGTTGGAGCAAAGCCCGATTATTTTTTCTCTTTCTGTGCAGTTAATTATTTTCTTTGAAAATTTTGACATTTTGTGGGAGAGGTACCAGAATGAGTGGACCGATTGTGCCCATCTCCGATCTAGGTCTAAGTTTGATAATAATATTACGATGTACCAAGTTTGGGTCAAACCGGCTACTCCCTTCGAGAGTTATAGTGCGCATCAGCCAGCCAGATGGACCGACATCGCTAGATCGACTCCAAATGTCCTGAAATTGATGTGTTCCAAAAAGAGATCTAAGGTCTAAAAAATCCTCAAATTACTGAATATCGGGTGCTACCGTTATATGTGCCGATATCCCAAAATGTGGACCTCATTTTCAATACCAACCATTCCATTCGTAAAATGATGTGGCCTGCATAGTGATTTCAACAGACAGACGGACATAATTAAATCGACTTAGAATGTTATGCTGATCATGAATATTTATGTTTAATGGGTTCTATGACGAATATTTAGAGGTGTTACAAACGGAATGACAAATTTAATATACCCTCCTTTCCAAAGTGGAGGGTATAAAAATAAACGTATAGCACGCAGACCCTTAAAGAAAAATCATTCCACAAAAGAATGACAAAAATATGATCGAAATTCGAGGCATTTGGCTGTTACTGGCAGTATTCCAGGAAAAAGACCCACTTTTGGCTGAAAATGACGAAAGTTCGGAAATAAGCTTTGGCAGTCCAAAGTATTTCATTTTAATTGAGAAAATGGATGCTTCCTTTCTACAAATCTTCTGTGTATTCCAGAACTTGGAAATTTGTATTGTCGTTAAAAAAAAAACTTTCAGATTCAGAGTAAAAACCAGTAAAGAAAGTCCTAAAGTCGGTCGGGCCGATTTTATGATACCCTACACCACTTGGCTAATTTAGTTGAGCTCCACATAAAAATTAAAAGTTTTTATGGGAGAATTGAATCATACACGCTATGATTATAATTATATTTTAAAATTCAAAGGACTAAATATGCCGAAGCATTTGTATCTTTTAAATTCGGACTTGTATTGCCCATTTGGTGCGAAATTAATTTGAAATCGGATAAAAATATATATGGGAACTATATCCAAATCTGAACCGATCTCTATAAAATTTGGCAAAGATATTTCTGACCTGTATTTGATAAATTTCCCTGAATATCGTTGTTACCGAATTCATATTACGGCTGTGGGTAACAAATACAATAAATCGGATGAACAATATATATGGGAGCTATAGCTACATCTGAACCGATCTTCACCAAATTTGGCATACTACCTTCTAGACTCAATTCGGTCGTAAGTGCCAAATTCCATCCCATTTGGACAAATATTAGACGTTTGGTGCACAATAAAAGGTAAATCGGACGAAGTTATATATGGGAGCTATATCCAAATCTGAACCGATCTCGATAAAATTTAGCAAAGGTATTTCTAAGCTGCATTTGATATATTTCCCCAAATATTGTTGTCACAGAGTGCATATTACAGCTGCGGAGGACAAAAATAACAAATCGGATGAACAATATATATAGGAGCCATAGCTATATCTGAACCGATTTCTATCAAATTTGGCATACTTATTTTCAGGCCTAATTTGGTTGTATGTGCAAAATTGCATACTATTCGGGCTGATATTACACGTTTGGTGCACAATAAAAGGCAAATCGGACGAAGATATATATGGGAGCTATATCTAAATTTTGACCGATTATCTCCAATTTCAATAGGGTTCGTCCTTGGGCCAAACAAATATTTTTTGGAAAATTTCATCTCAATCGCATAATAAATGCGACCTGTAATTTGTTCACAAGAATACATAGACAGGCGGACGGACAGACGGACGGACAGACGGACTGACATGCATAAATCAACTCAGAAAGTGATTCTATGCAGATCATAAAAAGGAACTATGGGTCTATCTCGTTTCCTTTTGCCTGTTACAAACAAATGCACAAAGACATAATACCCTGACCACCTTGTGGTGTAGGGTATAAATAGTTACAACACCAAACAACTCTTCACCAATTTTAGGTAAAGTCCTTCTTTCCTGCTCCAAAGGACACCACTTTAAATCAAACAAAATAATTTTCTATCGAATTTTCAATTCAATTTTCTAAATATATTTAAATGACTAAATAACATCGTTATAGAATGAAAAATCAAGCAAATCCTCTTAATGGAAAGCGGTGTAGGCAACGGGAGCAGAGACAACAGTCTTCACCAAGGGAGCGGCATGGACAACTGGTGCAGCAGCGTAAGTGTGAACTACAGGAGCAGCCACAGTCTTGACAACAGGAGCGGCAGCATAGGTGTGAACAACAGGGGTGGCAACAGTCTTAAGGACAGGAGCGGCAGCATAGGTATGGACTACAGGAGCGGCGGCAACAGTCTTGACGACGGGAGCAGCAGCCACGGTGTGGACTACAGGTACTTTCCTCTCCAAATTGGTGAAACTTTGATGTGTAATGGCCGAGGAGGCACTGTTATCAACATAGGCTGTCTTGGTCACCACAGGCTGGACAACATGATGGGTTTCGGTAACCAAACCTGGGGCAGCAGCGGCAACAGCCACGAAAGCAAAGATGGCAACAAATTTAAACATTTTGAAGGAGGATTGGTTGATTTCACAAAGATAATGAAATAGAACTGATGGTTTTCTAAGGGAATCACTTTGATTTTATACGAAAAAGAATTAAATGCGGTTTCCTAAACTATGAAGGCGTTCGTGCTGCTACTATGTCAAGATTGGTTGAAAGGCATTAAACGAACCGGTTTTTCAATTATTTTTTTTTCATGACACTAAGTACTGTGTACTTTAGTTCATATTTCTTACATTTACCATTGATTGTGTGCATTACTCATACAGGTTCTAGTTTGAATGTACCAAATATACAAAAATGATTTCTTATCGGCACACATAGTATTAATCAACATGATTTGCTATTTTTAGATTTTTGTGACGTATTTGAAAAAAAAAAAAAATAATTAAATAATGAAGACAATTTCAACATTACTAGCAAATTTTTTCACCCACAGAAGGAAGTTAAAATAAAAATAGAAGTTAAAACAAACAAAATGATAGGCTGGGTCTACACAACAACTAGGGAACAATTTCCTCGTATGAAGCCTATTTTTAAATCGACAATCAGAGCCACAAACCAGGATTTTTCCAAAGAGTTTTGAAGGAAGCTATCAGGCCTTTAAACTGTTTTTTTTTTTTAAGTATTTTATTAGCCACAATTAGAGCCACAAACATGGATTTATAAAGAATATATTTCAAAGCCCCATCAGAGCCACAAGCGAGAATTTGTTGAACTCGATTTTGTTTCATAGCTTCAAACATGCATGTTTTAAATAATATTTTTTATCCACCATCAGTGGAGGATCTAGAGGACTATTAGAGCCATAAAGATGGTCTTCTTATACCCTACACCACAAGGTGGTCAGGGTATTATGTCTTTGTGCATTTGTTTGTAACAGGCAAAAGGAAACGAGATAGACCCATAGTTCCTTTTGATGATCTGCATAGAATCACATTCTGAGTCGATTTATGCATGTCCGTCCGTCTGTCCATGCATTTTTGTAAACAAAGTACAGTTCGCATTTATTATCCGATTAAGATGAAATTTTCCAAACAACATTTGTTTGGCCCAAGGACGAACCCTATTGAAATTGGAGATAATGGGTCAAATTTTAGATGTAGCTCCCATATATATCTTCGTCCGATTTGCTTTTTATTGTGCACCAAACGTGTAATAATAGTTCGAATAGTATGGAATTTTGCACGTACGATCAGATTGGACCTGAAAATAAGTATGCCAAATTTGATCGAAATCGGTTTAGATATAGCTAAAGCTCCCATATATATTGTTGATCCGATTTGTTATTTTTGTCCTCCGCAGCCGTAATATGCACTCTGTAACAACAATATTTGGGGAAATATATCAAATACAGCTCAGAAATACATTTGCTAAATTTTATCAAGATCGGTTCAGATTTAGATATAGCTCCCATATATAACTTCGTCCGATTTACCTTTTATTGCGCACCAAACGTCTAATATTTGTCCAAATGGGATGGAATTTGGCACTTACGACCGAATTGAGTCTAGAAGCTAGTATGTCAAATTTGGTGAAGATCGGTTCAGATATAGCTATAGCTTCCATATATATTATTCATCCGATTTGTTATATTTGTTACCCACAAGCGTAGTATGCACTCCGTAACAACGATATTCAGGAAAATATATCAAATACAGCTCAGAAGTATCTTTGCCAAATTTTATCGAGATCGGTTCAGATTTGGATATAGCACCCATATATATCTTTATCCGATTTCAAATTAATTGTGCACCAAATGGGCAATACAATTCCGAATTTAAAATATACAAATGCTTCGGCATATTTAGTCCTTGAACTTTAAATTATAATTATAATCATAGCGCGTATGATTGAATTCTCCCATAAAAACTTTTAATTGTTATGTGGAGCTCTACTAAATTAGCAAAGAGGTGTAGGGTATCATAAAGTCGGCCCGCCCGACTTTAAGACTTTCTTTACTGGTTTATTTTAAATAATATTTTTTATCCACCATCAGAACTTCAAACGTGGAGGATCTAGAGGACTATTAGAGCCATAAAGATGGATCAGAGCCACAAGCGTATATTTTTAAGAAAATTTTCGGACCATCAGAGCCACATACGTGGATTTTTATAACCTCCACCATACATAATATGGAAGATATATTAAATTCCTCATTCTGTCCGTCCGCCCGTCTGAGCGTCTGTTGTAATCACACTTAAGTCAAAACGAATAAAGATAGGAAGCTAAAATTTGTCTGCAGGCAGGTCAAGTTCGAAGATGGACTATGTCGGTGTACGATATCGTATAGCCTCCATATAACGGTACCACCGATATTCGGTAATTTGATGATTTGTAGCCAAATTTTTTAACGAAAATCCACATAAGGGGTTTTTTCTGAATGCTTTACCCTGTGGAAGAATATTGGCTTCCACGGGCTAATGGTAACCCCCGATATTCGATATTTTTAAGACTCCAGCCACATTTTCAACGGAATTGTCTGAAAATACACACAATGAGTTTCTTGTGAGTACTTTATTCCCTAGAAGAGAATTATCTATATAGGTTCACGATATCGTATAGCCCCCATATAATGGTACCTCGCGATGTTTGATATTTTCCACATGATTTTTTCCAAATTTTTCAATGAAATTGTCTGAAATTCTACACCAGGAGTTCCTTCTGAGTACTTTACCCAATGGAAAAGAAAGGCTCATGTACAACGGTACCTCCCGATATTTGACGATTTTACTACATTATTCACCGGAGTTGTTTCAAATTTAGTTCCTAAAGTTCGTAATGGGAACTACAGTCTATGAAAGAAAATTGTCTATGCAGGTCCAGTTCTTCCTATAGGCCTCATATATATCAGTACCTCCCTATATTCGGTATTTGGATGATTTTAGCGACATTATTCACCGAAACTGTTTCACATTATGTATTTAGAGTTCGTAATGGGAACTACAGTCTATGACAGAAAGTTGTCTATGCAGGTCCAAATCTTCGCATATATCCCATATATCATTACCTGCCTATATTCGGTATTTCGACGATTTTAGGTACAATATTCCCTGGAATTATTTCATATTTCGTATTTGAAGTTCCTAATGGGTAATGCAGCCTATGACAGAAAATTGTCTATGCAGGTCCAGATCTTCGCATATATCCCATATATCATTACCTCCCTATATTCGGTATTTTTTTTGACGATTTTAGGTACATTATTCACCGGAATTATTTGATATTTCGTATTTGAAGTTCCTAATGGGTACTACAGCCTGTGACAGAAAATTTTCTATGCAGGTCCAGGTCTTCGTATAGCCTAATTATAACGGTACCTCCCAATGTTCGGTATTTTAATGATTTTGGCTACATTATTCACCGGATTTTTTCAAGTTTCGTGCTTGAATACTGTATTGGCTTATGACAAAAGTTGCTTATGCAGGTCCACGTCTTCGTATTTAACCCAATATAACAATATAAGATTTTAACAGAATTTTTAACGAATTTTATTTTTTTGAAAATTTACAAATTTGTTCCAATTGGTGGAGGTGGAGTACGACCCGGCCGAACTTACTGCTTTTTTACTTATTTAAGAATATTTTCAAATATCTGTCAGAGCCACAAACGTGGATTCTTCAAAGAATATTTTTTTAATTGACCATCACAGCTACAAACATGGATTTTTGATGATTTTTGAGAGGACCATTACCGTAACGAGGATTTGTTAAAGAATAGTTTCTAAAGAATATTTTTTATCAACCATCAGCGCCAAAAACGTGGATTTTTAATAATTTAATAGTTTTTGTCAACCATCAGAGCCACAACAGTAGATTTATTAGAATATTTGAGAGCCACAAATGTGAATTTTTTAAGAATATTTTTCAAAGGCCTGTCAAATCCAAAAACGTGGATTATTTAAAGAATATGTTTTCAAACCCCAACAGCGTCGCAGGCCGGGATTTTTAAAAAAGATTTTTTCAAAGTACCATCTGTACCACAGGATATGATTTTTTAAAATAAGTTTTTCCAAAGTGCCATCAAAAACACATTTTTTTTATTTTTTTTTTATTTTTCAAAGGCCCATCAGAGCCACAGACCAAGATTATTGTAGGCAGATTTTTTCGAAGGATTATTTGAGCTACAAATAAGAATGTTAAAAGAGTATTTTTTCAGAAGCCAAGAGAAGAATCCTAAGAGAAGAATTTTTTAAAGAAATTTGTGAGTTTTAATTTTTTCATCCTTTCCCCACAAAAATATTCCTTTTGAAAAAAATAACTTCTTACGGGCCAACACACATGGGTCAGCAAAGATTTGAAGTTTGTATTATTTTTGTTGTAATTTTTTTTTTTGTACGTTCAACTCGGTAGCTAGTAGCTCCATACAAACAAAGCAAATTGAAGTCGATTTAAGAAAAATAAAGTATGTGATATTGTGGTACTTAGTGCCATGAATAAAGAGAAGTACAACGAGAACCGGTTAAACGCCCTTCCATCAAACTTAATATAATAACAACACTAATTCCATAGCACTTTTATGTGCTGAACTAAATTTTCAGTATAAAACCAAAATGTTTCCCTTAACAAATCATCAGTTCAATTTCATTCGCATTGTGAAATCAAGCAATCCTCCTTCAAAATGTTCAAATTCGTTGCCCTCTTTGCTTTATTGGCTGTTGCCGCTGCTGCCCCAGGTTTGATTACCGAAACCCATCATGTTGTCCAGCCCGTGGTGACCAAGACAGCCTATGTTGATAACAGTGCCTCCTCGGCCATTACCCATCAAAGTTTCACCAATTTGGAGAGGAAAGTACCTGTAGTCCACACAGTTGCCGCTGCTCACTTGGTCAAGACTGTTGCCGCCGCTCCCGTAGTCCATACCTATGCTGCTGCTCCTGTCCTTAAGACTGTTGCCACCCCTGTTGTTCACACCTATGCTGCTGCTCCTGTTGTTAAGACTGTAGCTGCTCCTGTAGTTCATACTTACGCTGCTGCTCCAGTTGTCCATGCTGCTCCCTTGGTAAAGACTGTTGTCTCTGCTCCCGTTGCCTACACTGCTTTCCATTAAGAGGATTTTAATGATTTCACGTTGTTATTTAGTCACATAAATATATTTCAAAGATTTGGATTGAAAACTCCATAAAGACAGTTTCGTTTTAATTCATAGGCGGAAAAAATCAGGCCTTGGTGACTGAGGATTTTTTTTTTCCATAGAAAAAAATATCCGACCTCAGTACTGACTGTGGAGGTATTTTTTTCTATAGAAAAAAATCCGACCTCAGTACTGACTGTGGAGGTATTTTTTTCTATAGAAAAAAATCCGACCTCAGTACTGACTGTGGAGGTATTTTTTTCTATAGAAAAAAATCCGACCTCAGTACTGACTGTGGAGGTATTTTTTTCTATAGAAAAAAATCCGACCTCAGTAGTGACTGAGGAGGTATTTTTTTCTATAGAAAAAAATCCGACCTCAGTAGTGACTGAGGAGGTATTTTTTTCTATAGAAAAAAATCCGACCTCAGTAGTAACTGAGAAGGTATTTTTTTCTATAGAAAAAAATCCGACCTCAGTAGTGACTGAGGAGGTATTTTTTTCTATAGAAAAAAATCCGACCTCAGTAGTGACTGAGGTTTATTTTTTTCTATAGAAAAAAATCCGACCTCAGTTGTGACTGAGGTTTATTTTTTTCTATAGAAAAAAATCCGACCTCAGTTGTGACTGAGGATGACTTTTTTCTATACAAAAAAATCCGACCTCCGTTGTGACGGAGGACGATTTTTTTCTACAGAAAAAAATCACATCGGAGACTGAGGACGATTGTTTTCTACAGAAAAAAATCCGACCTCCGTTGTGACGGAGGACTATTTTTTTCTATAGAAAAAAATTCGACCTCAGTAGTCACTGAGGACTATTTTTTTCTATAGAAAAAATCCGACTTCAGTAGTGACTGAGGCATTTTTTTGCTATAGAAAAAAAAATTGACCTCAGTAGTGACTGAGGCATTTTTTTGCTATAGAAAAAAAAATTGACCTCAGTAGTGACTGAGGCATTTTTTTGCTATAGAAAAAAATTCGACCTCAGTAGTGACTGAGGCATTTTTTTGCTATAGAAAAAAAAATCCGACCTCAGTAGTGAATGAGGCATTTTTTTCTATAGAAAAAAAATCCGACCTCAATGGCGACTGAGGCATTTTTTTTTCTATAGAAAAAAATCCGACCTCAATGGCGACTGAGGCATTTTTTTCTATAGAAAAAAAAATCCTACCTCAATGGCGACTGAGGCATTTTTTTCTATAGAAAAAAATCCGACCTCAATGGCGACTGAGGCATTTTTTTTTCTATAGAAAAAAATCCGACCTCAATGGCGACTGAGGCATTTTTTATATAGAAAATAAATCCGACCTCAGTAGTGACTGAGGCATTTTTTTTCTATAGAAAAAAAATCCGACCTCAGTAGTGACTGAGGCATTTTTTTTTTTTTCTATAGAAAAAAATTCGACCTCAGTAGTGACTGAGGCATCTGATTTTTTCTATAGAAAAAAATCCGACCTCAGTACTGACTGAGGCATTTGATTTTTTCTATAGGAAAAAATCCGACCTCAGTAGTGACTGAGGATGAATTTTTTTCTATAGGAAAAAATCCGACCTCAGTAGTGACTGAGGATGAATTTTTTTCTATAGGAAAAAATCCGACCTTAGTGCTGACTGAGGATGACTCTTTTCTATAGAAAAAAATTCGACCTCAGTAGTGACTGAGGATGACTCTTTTCTATAGAAAAAAAATCCGACCTCAGTACTGACTGAGGAGTATTCTTTTCTATAGAAAAAAATCCGACCTCAGTACTGACTGAGGAGTATTTTTTTCTATAGAAAAAAAATCCGACCTCAGTACTGACTGAGGAGTATTTTTTTCTATAGAAAAAAAAATCCGACCTCAGTACTGACAGAGGAGTATTTTTTTCTATAGAAAAAAAATCCGACCTCAGTACTGACTGAGGAGTATTTTTTTCTATAGCAAAAAAATAATCCGACCTCAGTACTGACTGAGGAGTATTTTTTTCTATAGCAAAAAAAAAATCCGACCTCAGTACTGACTGAGGAGTATTTTTTTCTATAGAAAAAAAAATCCGACCTCAGTAGGGACTGAGGAGTATTTTTTTCTATAGAAAAAAAAATCCGACCTCAGTACTGACTGAGGAGTATTTTTTTCTATAGCAAAAAAAAATCCGACCTCAGTACTGACTGAGGAGTATTTCTTTCTATAGAAAAAAATCCGACCTCAGTAGTAACTGAGGAGTATTTTTTTCTATAGAAAAAAATCCGACCTCAATAGGGACTGAGGAGTATTTTTTTCTATAGAAAAAAATCCGTCCTCAGTAGGGACTGAGGAGTATTTTTTTCTGTAGAAAAAAATCCGACCTCAGTAGGGACTGAGGATGACTTTTTTTCTATAGAAAAAAATCCGACCTCGGTGGTGTCTGAGGTTTATCTTTTTCTATAGAAAAAATCCGACCTCAGCTGTGACTGAGGATGAGTTTTTTTTCTACAGAAAAAAATTCGACCTCAGCTGTGACTGAGGATGAGTTTTTTTTTTCTATAGAAAAAAATTCGACCTCAGTAGTGACTGAGGTTTATTTTTTTCTATAGAAAAAAATCCGACCTCAGTAGTGATTGAGGTTTATTTTTTCTATAGAAAAAAATCCGACCTCAGTAGTTACTGAGGATTTTTTTTTTTTTTCGATAAAAAAAAAATCCGACCTCAGTACTGACTGAGGATTATTTTGTTTTCGATAGAAAAAATCTGGCCTCAGTAGCGACTGAGGAATTGTTTTTTCTTCGAGAAAAAAAAATTAAGAAAATAAAACTCAGAATTTTCAACAATAAAAAAATATTTTATTCAAAAAACAACACTAATCTTAACTTAATGATGATAATGTCCAGCATAGGCAAGTGGCACAGTCTTGTACAATGGAGCCGGGTGGACAACAGTTTTTACAACGGGAACGGCAGCATAAGTGTGTACAACGGGAGCGGGAACGGCATATGTGTGAACAACTGGGGTCACCACGGTCTTTACAACCGGAGCCGCAACATAGGAATGAACCACGGGAGCGGCATAAACCGCCGGCTGGACATAGGCATGGCTGTGGTGGGCCACATAGCCGGGAGCAGCCTGGGCGGCAACAGCCAAAAGAGCAAGAAGGGCGAACTGCAAAATAGAATTATGAAGTAATTTAGATTTAGTTTCAGAATTTTGTTTTGGAATTTCAAAACTTACGTATTTGAACATTTTGTTGGAGGGTTTTAGTTGGTTGATTGGTTGTTGTTGAAACGCTGTCAATTCACTGATGATTCTTGTCAATTTCGCTGCTTCATTTATATGTTTTAAGAAAAAAAAAATTTAAAAATTCATTTTCAAACATGCACACATCTAAGCAAATTTTGTTGAAGACCGGTTGTCTTAATTTGTTTGGAGATCTACTGAAGAATACCTTCATCACTGTTGTGGGCTATTGTATTAAACTAATTATCCATAATAATGACATCCAAAACGCCATGGCTTGGAATGCCCTAATTGTGGTGCTTTAGAAAAGCTGACCAAATAAATTGTAACAAAATTTGCATTTCAATGGAGTTCTAGTTCCTGAGTCTTTTGTTAAGCCCACAATGTAGTCGATTAGAGATTAGGTTTATCACAAAGAATTCTATTTTAATGCATTACAAAAGATTCAAAAATAGAAAAAATACTATATTTACATTTTAATTTTGTAATTTTGATTTTGAGTGGATATTATTCAAATAAGTTCTACATGTTTGGTATTGGATGTAAATGTAATAAAGAAAAAAATATGAATTAATTAACTACAATAAAAATCGTAGAGTCTATTTCGGTCGTATCCGAAATTTATCTACAAGATAAATAAGTAAAATGGTTTGCTGCAGTATTTACGCGAGATAAAATACTTTATGTTTCCCCAGGATACATATATTAGATTCAAATTCAAAATTATGCGGACTAGACATTTAAAGGCAAAAAACAGACTAAGAATGGTTTCCCAAAAATTTGTTTAACTAATTTTAATGAAACATTAATGGAAGGAAAGCTTAAGGTTTGTACAACAAAAAATACGGCAGAACCTTCTGATGCCATACACACTTAGAGCATTGTCTTAGGAATATTCCTAGCATTCATGGGTACTTAAAAACTTTTATTCAAGGACAATCACGGCAATAATTTTTTTTTAGATTTTTTTCAAAGTGAGTCTATAACCTGGGGTTTTAAATAACATTTTAAATAGCTTTAGAACTGATGAGAAAAGAATTTCAAGGGTCATTAGAGACACCAAAAATGTATTTGTAACAAATTGAAAAGCAGTAAGATCAGCCGGGACAAACTTTGCATACCATCCACCATTTGGAACGTAATTATCAAAAAACCAATAAAGAAAGTTTTAAAGTCGGGCGGGGCCCTACAGCACTTTGCTAATATAGTAGAGCTCCACATAACAATTAAAATTTTTTATGAGAGAATTCAATCATACACGCTATGATTATAATTATAATTTAAAGTTCAAAGGACTAAATATGCCGAAGCATTTGTATCTTTTAAATTCGGACTTGTGTTGCCCATTTGGTGCACAATTAATTTGAAATCGAATAAAAATATATATGGGAGCTATATCCAAATCGGAACCGATCTCGATTAATTTTCGCAAAGATATTTCTGAGATGTATTTGATATATTTCCCTGAATATCGTTGTTACGGAGTGCATATTACGGCTGTGGGTAACAAATATGAAAAATCGGATGAACAATATATATGGCAGCTAAAGCTATATCTGAACCGATCTTTACCAAATTTGACATACTAGCTTCTAGACTCAATTCGGTCGTAAGTGCCAAATTTCATCCAATTTGGGCAAATATTAGACGTTTGGTGCACAATAAAAGGTAAATCGGACGAAGTTATATATGGGAGGTATATCCAAATCTGAACAGATGTCGATAAAATTTAGCAAGTGTATTTCTGAGCTGTATTTGATATATTTCCCCAAATATTGTTGTGCATATTACGGCTGCGGAGGACAAAAATAACAAATCGGATGAACAATATATATGGGAGCTATTGCTATATCTGAACCGATTTCGATCAAATTTGACATACTTATTTTCAGGTCCAATCTGATCGTACGTGCAAAATTCCATACTATTCGGACTGATATCACACGTTTGGTGCACAATAAAAGGCAAATCGGACGAAGATATATATGGGAGCTATATCTAAATTTCGACCGATTATCTCCAACTTCAATAGGGTCCTTGGGCCAAACAATTGATTTGTGCAAAATTTCATCTGGAGAGGGCAATAAATGCGAACTGTACTTTGTTTACAAAAATACATGGACAGACGGACGGAAGGACGGACGGACATGCATAAATCGACTCAGAATGTGATTCTATGCAGGTCATCAAAAGGAACTATAGGTCTATCTCGTTTCCTTTTGCCTGTTACAAACAAATGAACAAAGACATAATACCCTGACCACCTTGTGGTGCAAGGTATAAAAAGAAGTTAATAAATAAAACATTCTGTTAAATTCATACAAATTTCGAATATATGAATTATTTTGGGGTCTATGGGAAGACCTGCAGAGGAAATTTTCTATCGCAGGCTGTAATACCCATTAGAAACTTCAAATATGAAATTTGAAACAATTCCTTTAAATAATGTCGTTAAAATCGTCAAAATACCGAATATCGGAAGATACCGTTATATAGGGGTTATACGAAGACGTGGACTTGCATAGGCAATTCTCTGTCATAAACCGTAGTTGCCATTACGAACTTCAAATACGAAATTTAAAACGATTCCGGTGAATAATGTCGCTAAAATCGCCAAAAGACCGAATATCGGGAGGTACAGTTATATGGGGACTATACCTAAATCTGTACCCATTATCAATACCAAAAGTCCTGCAGACCAAACACAAATATGAAACAAATTTTATCAACATACTTCAATTTGCTCGGATGCTAGAGTGATTTCCACAGACGGACGGCGAACGGAGAATTTTATGCTGATCAAGAATAAACAGGGTGAGAAAAAAAATCTGCAACAAAGTCAAAGGCCATAATTTTTACATTTTATTAATATTTTATTGAATGAAAGCAAAAAATGTCGGAAATAGCATCAAATTTTAGAATAAGTTTAGATTTGTTCGAATCGGTCATCTTTGGTACGAACTATGGCCTTCAAACGGCCTTCGCTGCCCGAATGTTTTTCTGCGATATTTTGACCCATTCCCGGCGAAGCGCTTGCTTGAGGTGATCGGCACATTGGTATTTTTTAGTGTCAACCTTGCATTCCCAAATACTCCCGACACAAATACTCCAACGGATTGGTATCCGGAGATTTTGATGGCCATTGTGTGCTGGAAATGAATCGAGGAACCTCATTTTGTAACCATTCTTGGGTGGCGCGTGCTGATTGCGATGGTGCTGAGTCCTGTTGGAATGTCCAAGGTCTGCGGCCAAAATGTAAGCGTACCCAAGGATTTAATACACCCTCCAGAATATTTTCGCGATAATATTCAGCATTTATTCTGATGCCACGGTCGATTAACACGAGCGGAGAGCGACAATCGGCTGTTATGGCGGCCCACACCATCACCATGACCGGCGCTTGAGTTCTGGTGGTCAACCGAAGGGGCACATTTTCAGCTGACACGATAATTTTGTATGTTTACCAACTGCTGGACAAGGAAGGTTTTCTCATCGGAGAAAACCAAATTCGGCAGTTTACCACTTTTGGCCAAGCGAAGCAACTCTTTAGATCTTTTGAGTTTATTTTCTTTCTGTTGCGGTGAAAGTTGTTGCAATTTTTGGAATTTCAATGGCTTCAAATTCGGCAGTTTACCACTTTCGGCCAAGCGAAGCAACTTCTTAGCTCTTTTGAGTGTCTTGTCTTTTTGTTGGGGTGCAAGTTCTTGCACTTATTGTAATTTCAATGGGTTTACCCCGAGCTCATTTTTCAATATTTGCCGAATGGGAAATTACGATATGTTCAGCTAAGGAGCCATTTTCGGCCATTGCGACGCGGGCTTCGATCAAGTCGATCCTTTATTTTTCGAACCATTTCTGCTGATGTTGCTGTTTTCTTCCGTCCACTTCCTTGACGTCGGTATATGCTACAAGAATCACGGTTACGAGGGATGGTACGAGACACAAAAGATTTATTCACATGCCAATGCTGAAGTGCTCTAACGATAGCCACTTGTGGTTTTCCAGCCACGTTTGAATTCCATCACGATTAACTTTTTTTCTGGAAAATTCTCACCAAAATGCTTTTGTACGCTTCTAAACAATATAATGAGCTGTCACTGGAATCATTTTAACAGCTGTCGGCCGAGTGGCTTAGAAATGACAACAGTCTGAAGTTGGTTGCAGTTTTTTCTTCTCTCCCTGTATACCCTCTCTTGTCATATGGCTAAGTGTATAAAAAATTTAAAACTTTTCTGTACCCTAGTGTAATTGATTCGCATTTGACAATTTTGACAGTAATTTTCGACAACATTCCATTCTTTTGGAATGCCACACTCAAAGCCATTAGAAGACAATTTTTCATCGCTCAAGGAAACCGCTCGCTTCAGCATCTTCGTAATAATTTTTAAACGTAATATTCTAATTTAAATCGAAGATAATTAATGATGTGTTGGAAGCGATAAACCATTAGTCGCATCCAAATAATAACTGCACGCTTAAAAGATTATAAACAATTCAAGATGCCGAGTGAAAACATAAAAGATGAAATAACAGATGAAATTGAAACATTTTTTGTTCGGCCATTAGCCATGAAAATTTGATTACTTCTACGCGCTTACAGAAAAAGTGTGTGTGTGTGTGAAGAAAAAAATTAAATAAAAACGCTTACTAAATGCCCAAGCCATAGCAGTTACAATAAGCATCTGAAGAGCAAAGCATTGATACCATCATCTTCAAAATTGTGCGTGGAAATATGAACAAAGACCACAACAATAAAAGATTTAATACCCCAACTGACCCATTGAAATAGGGCAACATTGTTAACCAAAAAATTATGTAAAATATGAATGGAAGTATGCCCATAGTTTTTAGTTTCTTAAAAAAGCCAGAAAACTTGGAATGAAGGAGGTGCCTATTACAAACTCCAAATACAAAAAGTGAGATTATTCTGTTTAAAAATGTAGCCAAAATCATCAAAATAAGGTATATAAGGAGACGCAGACGTGGATCTGCACAATCCATTTCCTGTCATATGAACTAGTACCCATTGTGAGCTCAATATTCCAAATTATAAATAATTCCGACATGTCATCAAAATACCGAATATTTGGAGCTACAGTTGCATGGGGACTATAGGGATGGTTTTATGCGAGATTCTACATACTGGGAACACAAACTGCATATTTATTAGCAAATTCAGCTTAAAATTGTGGTTATAAACAGTTATATGGGGGCAATATCATAAATTGGGCCTATGTGGCGCATTTTTAATACCAACAAGTTAAAAAGCAGTAAGTTCGGCCGGGCCGAACACCATTTGGAACGAATTTGGAAAATTTCAAAAATTAAAATCCGTTAAAAATTAAAAAAAAATAAAATTTTAACAATCTTGAATATAGCCGTTATATTGGGGTCTATACGACGTGGACCTACAGAGGCATTGTTTGTCATAAGCCATAACCAACCATAACCATATTCAAATTCGACACTTGAAATAAACGGTGAATAATTTAGCTAAAATCATCAAAATATCGTATATAGGAAAGTACCGTTATATCGGAGCTGTGGGAAGACCTGGACCAGCATAGACAGTTTTCTGTCGTAGGCTCTAGCATCCATTACGAACTTCAAATTTCGGTGGATATTGTGCCTAAACTCGTCAAAATACCGAATACAGGGAGGTACTGATATATGGGGCCTATACGAAGACCTGGACCTGCATAGACAATTTTCTGCCACAGACTGTAATTCCGAACTCTAAATACGTAATTCGAAACAATTCCGGTTAATAATGACGCTAAAATCGTCAATATACTGAATATTGGGAGATACAATTATATGGGGTCTATACGAAGACGTGGACCTGCACAAACAATTTTCTGCAATAGGCTGTAGTATCGATTACGAACTTTAAATACCAAATTTGAAACAATTCCGCTTAGTAATGTCGCTAAAATCATCAAAATACTGAATATAGGAAGGTACCGTTATATGGGGGCTATAGGAAAACGTGGACCCACATGGCCCATTTACGAACTTAACCTGCCTACTAAAAAAATAAACATGTGTGCAAAATTTTAGCCCTCTACCTCAATTCGTGCGGAAGATAGCGTGATGAAAGTTAATATACCCTCCATAGTATGGTGGAGGAAATAAAAATTGTATTGACCTAAAATACATCTAAGTACAATTTTATTAAGCCTACTTCATTTCGAAACTTGACAATTGATATTCTCGCTAGGTCCGTTCTCTTCCTACGAAATATTTTAGCTTCAGGTCCACTAATTGGTATAGCCTCCATATAAAGGTACCTCCAGGTATTCGGTATTTTCAAGATCTCTGCCGCAATTTCCAAACAAATCAGATCAAACTTCACATTTGGGGTTCTTGGTAGGACTGTTCTTTGCTTGCAAAAAAGATCGATTAAGGTCACTAACTGGTATAGACCCTATATAACGGTACCACACGATTATCGGTATTTTTCAGGTTTCTACCACAATTTCCAATCAGCGAACCAAATTAGCTAAAACTTTACATTTGAAGTTCTTAGAAGGTCTGGTTTATCCCCGCAAAAACTATTCGCTACGGGTTCACCCAGTAACAGTACCTACCTATTTTCGGTATTTTGAAGGTTTCAAATTAGCTGAAACTTAGTAATTGGGGTTCTCGATAGGTTTGTTCTCACCTTACAAAAATGTGCAATTTAGGTCCACCAAGTGGTTTTCGGGTTTCGGTATTTTGAAGGTTTTTGCCAAGCAAATTAAATGATAATATAGATTTTGCTATTCGTTTTATTTTAATACCCTCAGCCAAATGGCCACAGAGGGTATATATCATTTGATACGGCCACAACGTGCCTTATCGAAATAACGGTTTTAGACCCTAAACCGTTTGGACGAAATCCGTTTCAGGACATTTAGAGTCGATCTAGCGATGTCCGTCCGTCTGTCTGGCTGGTGTGCACGATAACTCTCGAAGGGAGTATCCAATCCAAACTTGGTAAATCGTAATATTATTGTCAAACTTAGATAAGTTCGGAAATGAGCTATATCAGGCCACTCTTTCTGGTACCTCCCACACAAAATGTCAATATTTTTAAAGAAAAAAAATTAATTGCACAGAAAAAGAAGGATATCCCGATTTTGCTCCAAATTTGCGAAACCTAATATTTGCATCAGTGCTAGGTCAGGAGCGAAAATGAAAAATACCGTCCACTCCATCAAGAACCTCCCCCACAAAGTGTCACAATTTTGAATAAATATAACTCTTATAAGAATATGATGTAAATGTCCGATTACCTTTAAATTACACACATCAAAATGCTTTTATTAGCCCAAGATCTGGTGTTAAGATGGAAAATATTGGTCCACTCATTCTGGTACCTTCCCCACAAAGGGTAACAGTTTTGAATGTCCATGAAGCTCATAAAACGCAAAACTAACATCCGATTCCATTCAGATTTGGCACATCTTAATGTTTCCGTCAACACAAGATCTGTAATAGAGATGGGAGGGATCAGACAAATGCTTTTGTTAACTCCCCCAGGGTCGAAGTTTTGAATAACCAAAACGATCATAAAATCCGAAATAAGCATCCGGTTCTCTTAAAATTACACACATGACAATATTTTTATTAACCCACGGTGTGGTGTGAAGATGGGATATATCAGTCTACTCCTTCTGGTACCTCCCCCACAAGGGTCAACATTTTGAGTATCCATGAAGCTCATAAAACGCAAAATTAATCTCCGAATTTATTCAGATTTGATACATCTCAATATTTTTCTATAAACACAAGATCTGTTATAGATCGGGCCATTCCTTCTGGGACCTCCCCTACAAACGGTCTATGTTTTGAATAACCAAAACGATTATCAAATCAGAAATAATCGTCCAACTCTCTTCAAATTTCACACATCACAGATGGAATATATCGGTACACTCCTTCTGGTACCTCCCCCACAAAGGGTCAAAATTTAGAATGTCAATGGCGCTCATAAAACGCGAAATTAACATCCGATTCCATTCAGACTTGGTACAGCTCAACATTTCCATAAAAACAAGATCTGTCATAAAGATGGTAGAGATCGGACCATTTTTCTGGTACCTCCCCCACATAGGGTTCAAGATTTTAAGAAACAAAACGCTCAAATTAAGCGAAATAAACATCCAACTCTATTCAAATTTCACGCATTCAAATATTTTACGCAAGATCTGTTATGAAAATGATGTATATCTACCAACCCCTTCTCGCTTCATCTCCGGATACCAATCCGTTGGACTATTGTGTCTGGAGTATTTTGGAAAGCAAGGTTGGCACTAAAAAATACCAAAGTGTTGATCACCTCAAGCAAGCGCTTCGCCGGGAATGGGCCAAAATACCGCAGAGGAACATTCGGGCAGCGTGTGACGTTTTCATTGGCAGTTTGAAGGCTATAATTCGTGTCAAAGCTGTCCATTTCGAACAAATCTAAACTTATTCTGAAATTTGATGCTGTTTTCGACATTTTTTGCTTTCATTCAATAAATTTTAAAAAAATTAATATGGCTTTTGGCTTTGTTGCAGTTTTTTATCTCACCCTGTATGTGGGGAGGTATCAGAAGAAATGGTCCGATCTCTACTATCTTTATAACAGATCTTGTCTTGATGGAAATATTAAATAAATGGTATCGCATTTCGCGCTTTATGAGCTTCATGGAGATTCAAAATTGTAACCCTTTGTGAGGAGGGTACTATAAAGATCGGACCCATCTTCATTGGAAATCTTGTGTTAGTGGAAATAATAGGCTGTTCGAAGTGTGAAGACAACTGGATGCTTATTCCCGATTTATATGGCGTTTGACTTTGTTGCAGTTTTTTTATCTCACCCTGCGCATCTGTCGGCTTATGATATTTTATTTGTTTTTTTTTTTTTTATTAAAAACAGATTGATAATCTAAATTATCATATTCTACCCTTTTCATGGGAGGGTATAAAAAGTTTGGCTTAAAACCATTTATACTTGTTTAAAATGCCAAAACTGTAGCTTTGAAAGTTCTCTAAAATATTTTTTTACCGCAGAATTTTAGCTTAAAAAGGAAATTCTTTAAAAAATACGTTTTTTTTTTGGATTTTCTTGAAAAAAGACCTCAAAGACTCCAGGTTTGTGACTCTATTGGAAAAAGGAAAAATATTCCTCAAAAAAGTCACGTTTGTGTCACCTTTAGTCTCTTCCTGACAATAATTTTAAAAAATCTACGTTTCCTGGTCTTCTTGAAAACATGAAATTTATCCAAAAGCTTATTTTTTTCAAGGATAGATTTTAATAAATTTTCACTGGGAAATCTTGGATATTTTTTACCAACGGTGTGGCACACAGGACTGGTGTGGCAGCATAGGTTAGATTGGCTGGAGTTGCAGTATAGGTGTGAACAACTGGTGCAGGGTCGGACTTCACTAAGGTCGTTGTCATCGTTTTTACAAGTGGTAAAGCTGCAGTGTAACCGGTATAGACTACTGGAGCAGTGTCGGAGGCATAAGACTGAGCAACGGGAACATTGTGAACTAAATTGGTAAAACTTTGATGGGTTACAGCCGAGGCCGAGCTGGTGTCCACAACAGCTACGTGACCTGGTGCATCTGTAGAATGAACTTCCCGTAGGAGACCAGGAGCTGCCGCGGCCAGGGTGAGAAATGTCAAGGTGGTTATCTGTAAAATATGCATCTTAAAGTATTTGATTTTTTTCTACCGAAGGAGATGCCTTACAATTTTAAACATTTCGAACAAATACCTGTCGGGCTTTTGAAAACTTTAAATTAAAACTGCCCATTTAAGTTGTAACGACCATTCTTTTATATAAAGATCACACAAAGTGGTGGTAGCATTGGGCTTTGTGGAACAATTGTCTTTACGATTTGCTTTTCAAACAATAAGTGGCTTTACGTCTCCTCGTGTCATTAAAGTAACCAATTTTGTTGAAAAGAAATCTTTATAGGTGAGCTCGTTAAAACTTGTTTGGTCATTGCCTATTAAATATCAGAAAAATTGTAGTAATGCCTATCAGGGTTCGGGAAAAATAATAATATTATAGAAAAAATTTAAAAATTTCAAAAAAAGTTATGGCTCTGATGGCCCTTGAAAAAAAATTGAAAAAATCCAGGTTTCTACCTATGATGACCCTTGCAAAAATATTCTTTAAAAATATCCACGTTTATGGCTCTGATGATGCTTTGAAGAAATATTCTTTAAAAATATCCACGTTTATGGCTCTGATGATGCTTTGAAGAAATATTCGTTAAAAAATCCACTTTTGTGGCTCCGATGGCCCTTGCAAAAATATTTTTAAAAAAAATTCACGTTTATGGCTCTGATGATGCTTTGAAGAAATATTCGTTAAAAATTCCACTTTTGTGGCTCCAATAGCCTTTAAAAAATATTTATTAAAAAATCCACGTTTGTAGCTCTGATGATGCTTTGAAAAATATTTATTAAAAAATCCACGTTTGTAGCTCTGATGATGCTTTGAAAAATATTTATTAAAAAATCCACGTCTGTAGCTCTGATGATGCTTTGAAAAAATATTCGTTAAAAAATCCACGTTTGTGGCTCTGATGATGCTTTGAAAAAATATTCTTTAAGAAATCCACGTTTGTGGATCTGATGATGCCTTGAAAAAACATTCTTTAAAAAATCCACGTTTGTGGATCTGATGATGCCTTGAAAAAATATTCTTTAAAAAATCCACGTTTGCGGATCTGATGCTGCCTTGAAAAAATATTTTTTAAAAAATCCACGTTTGTGGCTGTGATGATGGTTTGAAAAAATATTCGTTAAAAAATCCATGTTTGTGGCTCTGATGATGCTTTGAAAAAATATTCTTTAAGAAATCCACTTTTGTGGCTCTGATGATGCTTGGAAAAAATATTCTTTAAAAAATCCACGTTTGTGGCTCTGATGATGCTTGGAAAAAATATTCTTTAAAAAAATCCAAGTTTGTGGATCTGATGATGCTTTGAAAAAATATTCTTTAAAAAATCCACGTTTGTGGTTCTGATGATATTTTGAAAAAATATTCTTTAAAAAATCCACGTTTGTGGCTCTGATGATGCTTTGAAAAAATATTCTTTATAAAAATCCACGTTTGTGGCTCTGATGATGCTTTGAAAAATTATTCTTTAAAAAATCCACGTTTGTGGCTCTGATGATGCTTTGAAAAATTATTCTTTAAAAAATCCACGTTTGTGGCTCTGATGATGCTTTGAAAAAATATTCTATAAAAAATCCACGTTTGTGGCTCTGATGATGCTTTGAAAAAATATTCTATAAAAAATCCACGTTTGTGGCTCTGATGATGCTTTGAAAAAATATTCTTTAAGAAATCCACTTTTGTGGCTCTGATGATGCTTGGAAAAAATATTCTTTAAAAAATCCACGTTTGTGGCTCTGATGATGCTTGGAAAAAATATTCTTTAAAAAAATCCAAGTTTGTGGATCTGATGATGCTTTGAAAAAATATTCTTTAAAAATCCACGTTTGTGGTTCTGATGATATTTTGAAAAAATATTCTTTAAAAAATCCACGTTTGTGGCTCTGATGATGCTTTGAAAAAATATTCTTTATAAAAATCCACGTTTGTGGCTCTGATGATGCTTTGAAAAATTATTCTTTAAAAAATCCACGTTTGTGGCTCTGATGATGCTTTGAAAAATTATTCTTTAAAAAATCCACGTTTGTGGCTCTGATGATGCTTTGAAAAAATATTCTATAAAAAATCCACGTTTGTGGCTCTGATGATGCTTTGAAAAAATATTCTATAAAAAATCCACGTTTGTGGCTCTGATGATGCTTTGAAAAAATATTCTTTAAAAAATCCACGTTTGTGGCTCTGATGATGCTTTGAAAAAATATTCTTTAAAAAATCCACGTTTGTGGCTCTGATGATGCTTTGAAAAAATATTCTTTAAAAAATCCACGTTTGTGGCTCTGATGATGCTTTGAAAAATATTCTTTAAAAAATCCACGTTTGTGGCTCTGATGATGCTTTGAAAAAATATTCTTTAAAAAATCCACGTTTGTGGCTCTGATGATGCTTTGAAAAAATATTCTTTAATAAATCCACGTTTGTGGCTCTGATGATGCTTTGAAAAAATATTCTTTAAAAAATCCACGTTTGTGGCTCTGATGATGCTTTGAAAAAATATTCTTTAATAAATCCACGTTTGTGGCTCTGATGATGCCTTGGAAAACTATTCTTTAAAAAATCCAAGTTTGTGGCTCTGATGATGCTTCAAATAAATATTCTTTAAAAAATCCACGTTTCTCGGTCTGATGGCCCTTGAAAAAATATTCTTTAAAAAATCCACGATTCTTGGTCCGATGGCCCTGATGTTCCTTGGATTTTTTTATCCTAATATTAAAACTCATGATTTACAACTTTCAAAATAAAAATTTATTAAAAAACATAAAATTCAAAATTCGTTACTAACTGTCAACTCTTAGTGGTGGACAACATGGGTCACGGGGGCGGCATGGACCAAGGGGACAGAGTGAACAACTGGGGCAACTACAGCAGCATTGGAGTGGATTTGGACATGAGATTGGTGGGAGACAGCATGGCCAACAACGGGGACAACTGGAGCAGCATGATAAGTGTGGACAACTGGGGCGGCAGCAACAGTCTTGACAACAGGGACGACAGGTTCAACAGTTTTAACAACGGGGACCACAGGTTCAACAGTCTTGACAACAGACACAGCTGGAGCGGCATGGACGGTGGTCTTGACAACAGGAGCAACAACTGGGGTGACAACAGCCTTGTTGTGGACACGGGTGAAGCTCTGATGAGAGGTGGCAGAGGGGACACTGTGGACCACAGCACCAACCTTGGCCAAGACGGGTTCTTGGACAACGGTATGGTGTTCGGCTACCAAACCGGGAGCGGCCAAAGCCACAGCAATGCAAGCGAAGAAAGTAACCTAAAATAAAACAAAGAAACCAATTAATTGTCAAAGGAACTCACAAAGGATTCCAAAACATCCTATTTCCACTTACGAATTTGAACATTTTGAAAAGGTTTTGTTGTGTCTTGTGATTAGTTTGTCTCGTAGGAAACTGATGGCTTCTGAATGCCGAGCAATTGATTTTATAGCCGAATTTTTTTGTGATTTGGTACTTGAGAAGAACTTTTGTTGTTGTTAGCAAAATTGTAAGACAACTACACGCTTATGTCCGCCTACACTGATCTTGAACTCCGGTGACAATAGATCGATTTCATGTTCCCATTCACAAAACCAATTGCTTTGCTACGCATTTGTTGTTTTGTTTTTTGTCTTTATCTTAAATACAGTAGCCAGAACGAATGACATATGAAAAGCATAACGAAAAGAAACGGAAATCCAATAACCAGAAATTTTTGAAAAGTCATTGGACGCGATTTTTGTGGCAGGTAATCCGGTGTGATTTGTAGTAATGAGATAGTACAGTAATTTTTTTAGGAAATGGAGAATGGGAGAATTTTAGAGCCACAAATGAGAATTTTTCTTAAAGGCCCGTATTTTGTAAACTTTTTTTTCAAAGGGCCATCAGAGACACAAACGTTAATTTTTAAAAAATATTTTTTCAAAGGGCAATAAGAAACGTGAATTTATTACAGAATATTTTTTAAGGGCTATAAGAAGCGTGGATTTATTAAAGAATATTTTTTTAATGACCATCAGGTCAATAAACGTGGATTTTTTAAAAATATTTTTTAAGGATCATTAGACCAGGAAACTGGGACTTTTTAAAGATTTTTTTGCAAGGGCCATCAGATCAAGAAACTTGGAATTTTTAAGGGTCATAAGGAACGTGGATTTTTTAAATAATATTTTTTCGAAGGCCCATCAGAGCCACAAACGTGGATTTTTTAAAGAATATTTTTTCAAAGGCCCATCAGAGCCACAAACGTGGATTTTTTAAAGAATATTTTTCAAAGGCCCATCAGACCAAGAAACGTGGATTTTTTAAAGAATATTTTTCAAAGGCCCATCAGACCAAGAAACGTGGATTTTTTAAAGGATATTTTTCAAAGGCCCATCAGACCAAGAAACGTGGATTTTTTAAAGAATATTTTTTCAAAAGCCCATCAGAGCCACAAACGTAGATTTTTCAAAGAATATTTTTCAAAGGCCCATCAGACCAAGAAATGTGGATTTTTTAAAAAATATTTTTTCAAAGGCCCATCAGACCAAGAAACGTATATTTTAAAAAAAAATTCAAAGGCCTATCAGACCAAGAAAAGTGGATTTTTTAAAAAAATATTCAGATCAAGAAACGTGGATTTTTTAAAAAAATATTCAGATCATGAAACGTTGATTTTTTAAAGAACATTTTTTCAAGGGCCATCGAATCAAGAAACGTGGATTTTTTAAAAAAATATTCAGACCATGAAACGTGGATTTTTTAAAGAATATTTTTTCAAGGGCCCATCCGACAAAGAAACGTGGATTTTTTAAAGAATATTTTTTCAAAGGCCCATCCGACCAAGAAACGTGGATTTTTTTAAATAATATTTTTCCAAGGGCCAACAGATCAGAAACGTGGATTTTTTAAAGAATATTTTTTCAAAGGCCCATCCGACCAAGAAACGTGGATTTTTTTAAATAATATTTTTCCAAGGGCCAACAGATCAGAAACGTGGATTTTTTAAAGAATATTTTTTATATATTTTTTTTCCAAGGGCCAACAGATCAGAAACGTGGATTTTTTTAAATAATATTTTTTCAAGGATTTTTTAAAGAATATTTTAAGGAGCCATCAGATCAAGAAACTTGGATTTCTTAAAGAAAATTTTTTTAAGGGCCATCAGGGGCAAAAACGTGAATATTTTAAAGAATATTTTTTCAGGGGACATCAGACCAAGAAACGTGGATTTTTTAAAGAATATTTTTCAAAGGTCCATCCGATCAAGAAACGTGGATTTTTCAAAGAATATTTTTTCAAGGGCCATCAGGGGCAAAAACGTGAATATTTTAAAGAATATTTTTTCAGGGGACATCAGACCAAGAAACGTGGATTTTTTAAAGAATATTTTTTTTCAAGTGCCGTCAGACCAATAAACGTGTTTTTTTAAGATTTTTTTCTAAAGGTCCATCCGACCAAGAAACGTGGATTTTTAAAGAATATTTTTTTAAATGGCCATTAGACCAAGAAACGCGGATTTTTTAAAGAATATTTTTTCAAATTGCCATCAGATCAAGAAATGTGGATTTTTTAAAGAATATTTTTTTTTAAATTGCCATCAGATCAAGAAATGTGGATTTTTTAAAGAACATTTTTTCAAATTGCCATCAGATCAAGAAATGTGGATTTTTCAAAGAATATTTTTTCAAAGGCCCATCCGACCAAGAAACGTGGATTTTTTAAAGAATATTTTTTAAATTGCCATCAGATCAAGAAATGTGGATTTTTTAAAGAATATTTTTTCAAAGGCCCATCCGACCAAGAAACGTGGATTTTTTAAAGAATATTTTTTCAAATTGCCATCAGATCAAGAAATGTGGATTTTTTAAAGAATATTTTTTCAAAGGCCCATCCGACCAAGAAACGTGGATTTTTTAAAGAATATTTTTTCAAATTGCCATCAGATCAAGAAATGTGGATTTTTTAAAGAATATTTTTTCAAAGGCCCATCCGACCAAGAAACGTGGATTTTTTAAAGAATATTTTTTCAAATTGCCATCAGATCAAGAAATGTGGATTTTTTAAAGAATATTTTTTCAAAGGCCCATCCGACCAAGAAACGTGGATTTTTTAAAGAATATTTTTTCAAAGGGCCATCAAATGATTGCAACTTCCCACATCGCAATATTTATGCCAGCCTAAGAAGAAGTAAGAAATTGAACAATATCGAGCCTCTCCTACATGTACCTCCCCCAAAAATGGTGAACATTTTCAACAATTACAAATTCATAAAACGGAAAATAGTCCACCATTTTCTAAAGACTACGCTATTCTACATTTCTGCCGGTATTAGATCAAGCTTTAATAGTCTCCATATTTCGCCTTCTAAATGTTGCAAAATTTTTTTGTTGGTGTGACCCCAACATTATTCTACTTGCGACTTTGGCATAGGCGTTTTTGACATAACTCAAGCTTGCACATGGAGAAAAGCATCAACAATTCGCCACAATCGAGCAAAACGGCGCTTTTGTTTATTTTCAAAACTTTTTTCAAGTGGATAACCTTACTTTTTTACTCTTTTGCCAATAAGATCAAAATAAAAGGAGCTTAATTTAACAATAAAATAACTATTTTATTTAAAACATAAACATTCAATCACTTTTTCACAATTTAATGATGGACGACATGGGCAACAGGAGCAGCATGCACAACAGGGACCGAGTGAACCACAGGAGCAACTACGGCAGCATTGGAGTGGATTTGAACATGAGATTGATGGGATACGGCATGACCAACAACGGGGACAACTGGGGCAACAGTCTTCACCACTGGCACGGCTGGAACAACAGTCTTGACAATTGGGGCAGCAGCAACAGTTTTGACTACAGGCACAACTGGGGCAGCATGAACTGTGGTCTTAACAACGGGAGTGAGGACAGGGGCAACTACGGCCTTGTTGTGGACACGGGTAAAACTTTGATGAGAGGTGGCAGAGGGGACACTATGGACCACAGCTCCAACCTTGGCCAAGACGGGTTCTTGAACAATGGTGTGGTGTTCGGCCACCAAACCGGGAGCAGCCAAAGCCACGGAAATGCAGGCAAAGAGGGTAACCTATAGAAGTTGTTAATGATATTAAAGGATTTGTTTTAAAATAAAAATTAAAATCAAAAAACTTACAAATTTGAACATTTTGAGATAAAAAGTAAAGTTGGAATGTTGATTTTGTCAAAGCTGATTTGGAACTGATAATTTCCTCTCTCAACTGAAAATTATTTATACCAATTTTTGGTACCCAAGATCAATGACAACAATTTGGATTCACTACTGGTTGACCAGGTCTCGTGACAATGTAGTTGAAAACACTTAGAACTGAAAAACCAATGCATTGCCCAATTTGTTTATAGTTTTTAAAACCAGAATTATGATTTAATGAAAAAAAAATTCCAATGACAAAACACAACTGCTGCCCGATCATTGCAATGCTAGCTTAAAAAAACGCTTGTTCAACAAGAAGCTATCAATGAAGTTCAAGTTCATTGAATGTATTTTTGTGGGAGGCAAAGCAGCTATAAATTACTGAATTCAATTAAAGGAAACTCATAGTTTCGTTTGAGTCTTAATAGACCTAACATAATCTACCCTTAAGTAAATCTGGCAAAAATGTTCAAATTTGTAAGTTATTGGCTTGTCAAAAAAGACACTTAAATTCTGCCAATAGATTCAAATTTATCCCTACTTCATCCTTTTTAGGTTACCTTCTTCGCCTGCATTTCCGTGGCTTTGGCCGCCCCCGGTTTGGTGGCCGAACACCATACCGTTTTTCAAGAACCCGTCTTGGCCAAGGTTGGAGCTGTGGTCCACAGTGTCCCCTCGGCCACCTCTCATCAGAGTTTCACCCGTGTCCACAACAAGGCTGTTGTCGCTCCCGTCGTTACACCTGTTGTAAAGACAACCGTCCATGCTGCCCCCGTTTTATCCGTTGTCAAAACTGTTGAACCTGTTGTGCCTGTAGTTAAAACCGTGGCTGCTGCCCCCATTGTCAAGACCGTTGTTCCAGCCGTGCCAGTGGTCAAGACTGTCGCCCCAGTTGTTCCCGTTGTCGGTCATGCCGTATCCCATCAATCTCATGTTCAAATCCACTCCAATGCTGCTGTAGTAGCTCCAGTGGTTCACACCGTGCCTGTTGTCCACGCTGCTCCCGTTGCCCATGTTGTCCATCATTAAGTTTTAGAAAATGGTTTTATGATTGAATTTTATGTCTTTAATAAAATATGCAATCAATTGTTATATCAATTTTTTTGAACTTATCTTGAATCATTAAAAACGTACCTAAATCCCACGAAGTGCTGTGGAACTTATATCACGTACCTGAAAAAAAAAAAAACAAATTTTATTTAAACAATTTTCAAAAATTGTACGTTTCCTGTACTTAAAAAAAAAATATTTCCACGTGTGTACCTCTGATGACCCCGAAAAAATATTTATTTAAAAGTCCACTTTTTAGCCTCTGATGGTCCTTGAAAAATACTCCTTTAAAAGTCTTTAAGCAATGACGTTAGATGGTCTTATATCCTTTAAAAAAAGGCCAAAAGTTTCTGGGTCTGATGGCCCTTAAAAAATATATTTAAATATAATTATGAAAAAAAATCTTTAAAAAATCCACGTTTCATATGAATCTTGAAAAAAAAAATCTTTAAAAAATCTACGTTTTTTTTTGAATCTTTAAAAAATCCACGTTTCTTATGAATCTTGAAAAAAAAATCTTTAAAAAATCGACGTTTTTTTTGAATCTTTAAAAAATCCACGTTTCTTATGAATCTTGAAAAAAAAATCTTTAAAAAATCCACGTTTCATATGAATCTTGAAAAAAAAATCTTTAAAAAATCGACGTTTTTTTTGAATCTTTAAAAAATCCACGTTTCTTATGAATCTTGAAAAAAAAATCTTTAAAAAATCCACGTTTCATATGAATCTTGAAAAAAAAATCTTTAAAAAATCGACGTTTTTTTTGAATCTTTAAAAAATCCACGTTTCTTATGAATCTTGAAAAAAAATCTTTAAAAAATCCACGTTTCTTATGAATCTTGAAAAAAAATCTTTAAAAAATCCACTTTTGTTATAGTCCTTGAAAAATATTCTTTAAAAATCCACGTTTGTTATAGTCCTTGAAAAATATTCTTTAAAAAATCCACGTTTGTTATAGTCCTTGAAATATATTCTTTAAAAAATCCATGTTTCTTTTCGTCTGATGGTCCTTTAACAAATATGCTTTAAAAAATCCACATTTCTTAGTCTGATGGTCCTTTGAAAAATATTCTTTATAAAATCCACGTTTCTTTAAAAACTCCGTGTTTCTTGATCTGGTAGCCCTTGAGAAAATATTCCTTAAAAATCCACGATTCTCGGTCTGATGGCCCTTGAAAAAATATTCTTTAAAAAAACCGGTTTTTTTTTTTTTTTAAATATTCTTAAAAAAACCCACGATTCTTGATCTGAAAATCCACTTTTCTTGGCCTGATGCGCCTTCGAAATTTTTTTTTTTTAAATCCACATTTCTTGGTCTGATGGGCCTTTGAAAAAATATTTAAAAAAAAATCACTTTTTTGGTCTAATGGGCCTTTGAAAAAATATTCTTTAAAAAATTCACGATTGTGGCTCTGATGGGCCTTTGAAAAAATATTCTTTAAACAATCCACGTTTGGGGCTCTGATGGGCCTTTGAAAAAATATTCTTTAAAAAATTCACGATTGTGGCTCTGATGGGCATTTGAAAAAATATTCTTTAAAAAATCCACGTTTGTGGCTCTGATGGGCCTTTGAAAAATATTCTTTAAAAAATTCACGATTGTGGCTCTGATGGGCCTTTGAAAAAATATTCTTTAAAAAATCCACGTTTGTGGCTCTGATGGGCCTTTGAAAAATATTCTTTAAAAAATTCACGATTGTGGCTCAGATGGCCCTTAAAAATATTCTTTAAAAAATCCACGTTTGTTATAGTCCTTGAAAAATACTATTTAAAAAAAAAACAGGATTATTGCTTTGATGGCCCTTAAAAAATATTCTTTAAAAAATCCACGTTTGTTATAGTCCTTGAAAAATACTATTTAAAAAAAAACAGGATTATTGCTTTGATGGCCCTTAAAAAATATTCTTTAAAAAATCCACGTTTGCTATAGCCCTAGAAAAATATTCTTTAAAAAAAACAGAATTCTTAGTTTGATGGCCCTTAAAAAATATTCTTTAAAAAATCCACGTTTCCTGGTCTGATGGCCCTTGAAAAATATTCTTTAAAAAACCTAGGATTCTTGGTTTGATGGCCTTAAAAAAATATTCTTTAAAAAACCTAGGATTCTTGGTTTGATGGCCTTAAAAAAATATTCTTTAAAAAATCCACATTTTCTGGTCTGATGGCAAATTATTTTTTAAATAATCCACGATGGCCCTTTGAAGAAATATTCTTTAAAAAAACGCGTTTTTGATATCTGCTGAAAGAATATTCTGTAAAAAATCCAAGCTTGTGGCTCTGATGGCCACAAATTCCACGTTTATGCTTCCAATTTCCCCTAAAAAATATTCTTTAAAATTCCACGTTTGCACATTTAATTGCCCTTGAAAAAATATTTTTAAAAAATCCAAAAAAAAAAAAATTATTTTAAAAAACACGTTTGTTTGATGGCACCTGAAAACATATTGTTTAAAAAATCTACAAACTGGGCCCTGAAGATGTCCTTTAAAAATTGATCGAAGGTAAAAAAAAAACTCCCATCTCTGTAATTTATTAAAACAATAACATTTTATTTAAAACATAAAATTAATTAAACATAAAATAACATTTAATGATGGACGACATGGGCAACAGGAGTAGCATGCACAACAGGGACTGAGTGGACCACAGGAGCAACTACGGCAGCATTGGAGTGGATTTGAACATGAGATTGATGGGATACGGCATGACCGACAACGGGAACAACTGGGGCAACAGTCTTCACCACTGGCACGGCTGGAACAACGGTCTTGACAAGGGGAGCAGCAGCCACGGTTTTGACCACAGGCACAACAGGTTCAACAGTCTTGCCAACCGATACAACGGGGGCAGCATGGACGGTTGTCTTTACAACAGGAGTAACGACGGGGGCAACAACAGCCTTGTTGTGGACACGGGTGAAACTTTGATGAGAGGTGGCCGAGGGTACACTGTGGACCACAGCACCAACCTTGGCCAAGACGGGTTCTTGAACAACGGTATGGTGTTCGGCCACCAAACCGGGTGCGGCCAAAGCCACGGAAATGCAGGCGAAGAAGGCAACCTAGAAATAAGTTAAGGAAGAGGACAATGGTTAAGGATCCATAAAACAAATTAAGTAAGACACAAGAACTTACAAATTTGAACATTTTGGAAAGATTAAGTTTTTGTTAGGTTTGTAAAAGCTCAAACAAAACTGATACCCGTTTGCCAAAGTTAAGAAGTTTTTATAGCTTTCTGAGCCAAGATTCACTGCAACCTAATCAATTATTCTCAGGGCGACAACCACCACCTACAATGATCTTGAACTTTATCGATTTATTGTTTGTTTCAATTGAACTTCAATGAATACTTGGATCGGATTTATTATTCCCTCTTGGAGATGTATGTCAATTAGAATCATAAATGAAGTCTCCACAACATAATTCAAGTTCATGGGGTTAACAGAAACCGGATTTTTTTTTTCAACTAGCCACCAATCAATTGTTAACAATGTGTGTGTGTGATATATTTTTTGTTCGCATGTGTTATGTTGCTTTGCATTTTATGTTGAGCTTAATTGACTACTTAGTCTTAAGTGGTTTCATTACCATGCCCATTCAAAATGGGCCGAGCAATTCTTGTCTCGCGGGTAATTAAGAAATAATTAGTAATATTTATTTCAAAATTAATTTTTTCGAGAATTGAGCATAGGATACCCTACACCACACTTATAATAAATAAATAAAACAGACCGAAAAGAGGATATTAAAACAGTGGAGTTTCAAACCTTGTTTTCACCATAGTATGGAGGGTATATTAAATTTGTCATTCCGTTTGTAACACCTCGAAATATAATCACTAAATATAGATTTAGCGATGTCCGTCCGTCTATGCTTCTGTCCGTCTGTGGAAATCACTCTAGCTTCCGAACGAAATGAAGTAGGTTGATAAAATTTTACGTAAATGTATATTATGTCTGCAGGATTTTTGGCAAAATGGGCCAGATAGGTTCGCGTTTTGGTATAGCCCCCATATAACAGTAACTCCCGGTATTCGATATTTTGATGACTTAAACGACATTATTCACCGGAATTTTTCAAATTTATTATTTGATGTTCGTACAGAAAATTGTCAGTTCAGGTCCACGTTTTCGTATAGCCCACATGTAACGATACCTCCCGATATTCGGTACTTTGATGATATTAGTGACATTATTCACCGGAATTGTTTCAAATTTGGTATTTGATGTTCGTAATAGATACTACAGCCTATGAAAGAATATTGTCTGTGCAGGTCCAAGTTTTCGTATAGCCCCCATATAACGATACCCCCCTTATATTCGGCCTATGCAGGTCCACGTCGTCGTATATACCCTAATATAACGGCTACGTTTGGTATTTTTTAGATTTTAACAGAATTTTTAACCGTTTTTTTTTTTTTGTTTTGAAAATTGAAAAAATCGTTCCCTGCCGAACTTACAGCTTTTTACTTGTTTCATCAGAATCAAAAACTTGAATTTGTGAATGAATATTTTTACGGATTATCGAAGCGACAAACGTGGATTTTTTTCAGGGAATATTTTTTAAAGGACCATTAGAGCTACATACGCGGATTTTTTAATGCCATAAATCAGGATCATGTAAGGAGAATTTTTTAAGAATCACCACATCTACTAACTTGGTTATTTTTGGGGATTTATTTTTGAAGTTAGTAAGAGCCACAAACATCGTTTTCAGGGACTTTGTGGATTTTTTTTACTATTTTTTTTTTCAATGTTATATATTCATGAAAAAGATTTATTTGCAAAAACTCTGTTTAAAATTTTTTTATTCATTATAAGTATTGTGTAGGGTATCATATGTTCATCACCCCAGATTCTAACCCATTACATTGTATGCTGAATTCATGAAAAATTAAATTTTTAAATTAATATCACTAATTATTTCTTAATTACCCCCGGAGACAAAAATGTTGGCCCATTTAAAATGGGCATGGAAATGAAACCACTTAAAGCTTTAAGTAGTCAATTAAGTTCGACACAAAATGCAAAGCAACGTAACTCATACAAACAAAAAATATATCACACACACATTGTTAACCATTGATTGGTGGCTATTTGAAAAAAAAAAATCCGGTTTCTGTTAACCCTATAAACTTGAATTATGCTGTGGAGACTTCATTTATGATTCTAATTTACATTCATCTGCGAGAGGGAATAACAAATCCGATCCAAGTATTCAATGAATTGAAGTGAAGTTCAATTGAAACAAACAATAAATCCATAAAGTTCAAGTTCATTGTAGGTGGTGGTTGTTGCCCTGAAAATAATTGATTAGGTTGCAGTGAGTCTTGGCTCAGTGAGCTATAAAAACTTCTTAACTTTGTCAAACAGGTATCAGTTTTGTTTGAGCTTTCAAAAAACCTAACAAAAACTTCATCTTTCCAAAATGTTCAAATTTGTAAGTTATTCCACCTTACTTTATTTGTTTTATGGATCCTTAACTCATGTCCTCTTCCTTAACTTATTTCTAGGTTGCCTTCTTCGCTTGCATTTCCGTGGCTTTGGCCGCTCCCGGATTGGTTGCCGAACACCATACCGTTGTCCAAGAACCCGTCTTGGCCAAGGTTGGTGCTGTGGTCCACAGCGTCCCCTCTGCCACCTCTCATCAAAGTTTCACCCGAGTCCACAACAAGGCTGTTGTCGCCCCCCTTGTAACCCCTGTGGTTAAGACCACCGTTCATGCCGCCCCCGTTGTATCGGTTGTCAAGACTGTTGAACCTGTTGTGCCTGTGGTTAAAACCGTGGCTGCTGCCCCCATTGTCAAGACCGTTGTTCCAGCTGTGCCAGTGGTAAAGACTGTTGCCCCAGTTGTCCCCGTTGTTGGTCATGCAGTATCCCACCAATCTCATGTTCAAATTCACTCCAATGCTGCCGTAGTTGCTCCTGTGGTTCACTCGGTCCCTGTTGTGCATGCTGCTCCTGTTGCCCATGTCGTCCATCATTAAATCTTCGGTTGCCATTATATAGTTTTATGTTTTAAATAAAATGTTATTGTTTTAATAAATTACAGAAATGGGAGTTTTTATTGGAAACGACAGAGTATTTTTTCAAAAGCCATCACAAACTTCAACTCAATTTTTTTTTTGAAAAACATAGGGCCATCCGACCAAGAAATGTGTATTTTTTAAAAAATATTTTGTCAAAAACCGTCAGATCACAAACGCGGGTTTTTTTTAAGAATATTTTTTTAAAGGACAATTGAAAAAATATTTTTAAAGGACCATCAGAACGAGATACCTGGATTTTTTAAAGAATATTTTTCCAAAGGGCCATTAGAGGCACAAACGTGGATTTTTTAAAGAATATTTTTCCAAAGGGCCATTGGAGGCACAAACGTGGATTTTTTAAAGAATATCTTTCCAAAGGGCCATTGGAGGCACAAACGTGGATTTTTTAAAGAATATTTTTCCAAAGGGCCATTAGAGGCACAAACGTGGATTTTTTAAAGAATATTTTTCCAAAGGGCCATTAGAGGCACAAACGTGGATTTTTTAAAGAATATTTTTCCAAAGGGCCATTAGAGGCACAAACGTGGATTTTTTAAAGAATATTTTTCGAAAGGGCCATCAGAGGCACAAACGTGGATTTTTTAAAGAATATTTTTCGAAAGGGCCATCAGAGGCACAAACGTGGATTTTTTAAAGAATATTTTTCGAAAGGGCCATCAGAGGCACAAACGTGGATTTTTTAAAGAATATTTTTCGAAAGGGCCATCAGAGGCACAAACGTGGATTTTTTAAAGAATATTTTTCGAAAGGGCCATCAGAGGCACAAACGTGGATTTTTTAAAGAATATTTTTCGAAAGGGCCATCAGAGGCACAAACGTGGATTTTTTAAAGAATATTTTTCGAAAGGGCCATCAGAGGCACAAACGTGGATTTTTTAAAGAATATTTTTCGAAAGGGCCATCAGAGGCACAAACGTGGATTTTTTAAAGAATATTTTTCGAAAGGGCCATCAGAGGCACAAACGTAGATTTTTTAAAGAATATTTTTCGAAAGGGCCATCAGAGGCACAAACGTGGATTTTTTAAAGAATATTTTTCGAAAGGGCCATCAGAGGCACAAACGTGGATTTTTTAAAGAATATTTTTCGAAAGGGCCATCAGAGGCACAAACGTGGATTTTTTAAAGAATATTTTTCGAAAGGGCCATCAGAGGCACAAACGTGGATTTTTTAAAGAATATTTTTCGAAAGGGCCATCAGAGGCACAAACGTGGATTTTTTAAAGAATATTTTTCGAAAGGGCCATCAGAGGCACAAACGTGGATTTTTTAAAGAATATTTTTCGAAAGGGCCATCAGAGGCACAAACGTGGATTTTTTAAAGAATATTTTTCGAAAGGGCCATCAGAGTCACAAACGTGGATTTTTTAAAGAATATTTTTCGAAAGGGCCATCAGAGGCACAAACGTGGATTTTTTAAAGAATATTTTTCGAAAGGGCCATCAGAGTCACAAACGTGGATTTTTTAAAGAATATTTTTCGAAAGGGCCATCAGAGTCACAAACGTGGATTTTTTAAAGAATATTTTTCGAAAGGGCCATCAGAGGCACAAACGTGGATTTTTTAAAGAATATTTTTCGAAAGGGCCATCAGAGGCACAAACGTGGATTTTTTAAAGAATATTTTTCGAAAGGGCCATCAGAGGCACAAACGTGGATTTTTTAAAGAATATTTTTCGAAAGGGCCATCAGAGGCACAAACGTGGATTTTTTAAAGAATATTTTTCGAAAGGGCCATCAGAGGCACAAACGTGGATTTTTTAAAGAATATTTTTCGAAAGGGCCATCAGAGGCACAAACGTGGATTTTTTAAAGAATATTTTTCGAAAGGGCCATCAGAGGCACAAACGTGGATTTTTTAAAGAATATTTTTCGAAAGGGCCATCAGAGGCACAAACGTGGATTTTTTAAAGAATATTTTTCGAAAGGGCCATCAGAGGCACAAACGTGGATTTTTTAAAGAATATTTTTCGAAAGGGCCATCAGAGGCACAAACGTGGATTTTTTAAAGAATATTTTTCGAAAGGGCCATCAGAGGCACAAACGTGGATTTTTTAAAGAATATTTTTCGAAAGGGCCATCAGAGGCACAAACGTGGATTTTTTAAAGAATATTTTTCGAAAGGGCCATCAGAGGCACAAACGTGGATTTTTTAAAGAATATTTTTCGAAAGGGCCATCAGAGGCACAAACGTGGATTTTTTAAAGAATATTTTTCGAAAGGGCCATCAGAGGCACAAACGTGGATTTTTTAAAGAATATTTTTCGAAAGGGCCATCAGAGGCACAAACGTGGATTTTTTAAAGAATATTTTTCGAAAGGGCCATCAGAGGCACAAACGTGGATTTTTTAAAGAATATTTTTCGAAAGGGCCATCAGAGGCACAAACGTGGATTTTTTAAAGAATATTTTTCGAAAGGGCCATCAGAGGCACAAACGTGGATTTTTTAAAGAATATTTTTCGAAAGGGCCATCAGAGGCACAAACGTGGATTTTTTAAAGAATATTTTTCGAAAGGGCCATCAGAGGCACAAACGTGGATTTTTTAAAGAATATTTTTCGAAAGGGCCATCAGTCATCACGTTCTGTTGCGAAAATGATAGCTATCGGCCTCCCCCTTCTGGTATTTCTCCCACAAAGGTTCACAGCCTGCAATACTTATATCTCTTTTAACGTGTAAAAGCAGATAGTGATTCTTTTCAAACTTGGTATATCCTAATATGTTCCTCAATCAAAAATCTGATGTGAATATGAAATTTATCGACTCACTCCCTCTCGTACCTCATCCACAAAAGTTAAAGTTGTGATTAAATATTATTCCCTCAAAATTGGTGTGATTTTTTTTTTCAAATTTTGAACGTCCACATATGTTCATCAGTATTAGAAGAAGTGGAATGCTTTGATCCAATGTATATGGTACCTCACACATATTTCCATATTTTCGAAACATTATCACATATTTCATATAAAGTACAGGAAATAGTCTATATAGTCCAAACCGGACACGTAGAAATATAATTTATGTGAAGTAGATCATACCAACTACGAACGTTATTTAAATGCGAATCATGGCTTTAGAGGAGTCACAATTTGGGAACTATATCCAACTCTGAATCGATTTCCATTAAATTTGACGGAGGCTCTTTAGTACCAAATAACATTGCTGCATAGTGCATGATATGACTTCAATAAGAAATATATTAAATAATATTTATAGATATAAATATACCGGAACGGGTTTTACCAAATGCTAAAATTCGAAAGATAATTGTTGTGGAGTGCATATTACGAATGTGAGGATGAAATGCTTTTATTTACTTGTCTCTAGAATAAATTCGGTGGGATGTGCCAAAATGCAGGCCTTTTGGATTGATATTGGCCATTTGGTGCACAATTAACCCGAAATCGGTTGAGGATATATTTGGGAGCTATATCTAAATTTGAACCGATTATCACCAATTTCAATTGGGTTCGTCATTGAGCCAGGCAAATGATTTGTGGAAAATTTCATCTCAATCGAGTAAGAAATGTGACATGTATTTTGCTCACAAAAATGCATGGACCCACGGACGACAGACAGATTGACATGCATAAATCAGTTCCGAAAGGTCCTCAAAAGTAATTTTCAGTCTATCACGCTTTCTTCTCCATGATACAAAAAATAGAACAAGGACATAGTACCCTTAGGATATACCCGTAGGATATAAAAATGTTTTAAAAAAGTAAGAGAAACATTTTTTTATTTCTTTTATTCCATTCTAAGTATGTAGCAGCACAAAAAAATTAACAAACATAACATGCAATACTTTTTGAACAACTCTCGTATTACTTCTGTGACAGAATAAAAAAAACCGAGGCTGCACAAATTTTCCTAAAAAACTGCCAAATTATTCGTATCTGAACAATCTGACTCAAAGTCAAAGCATGCTGGGCCTATAATACGTTAATTGATTTATTTAATTTAACAAGATTTTCATATGGTAGCTTTCCGTAACAGCCACCCCTGTTGCCCCGCCTAAGGCATAGATTTAATCAAGACCACTCTTAAATCTCACATTGAATTTAAAATCAAATAATTGATTAGAGTCATATTACATGCAGGGCGTTAAAGCCAACCACATATAAAACCGATAACAACAAAATCAATTTAAAAAAAATATACTATTAAAAACCAACAACAACAACAGCAACAATGTGTCCAACCTTCATCAATTAAAGTACAATAATTACCAAAATAAAAAAACAACTAATCCAATCCCATTTTGTTTTTGGTTTCTTACCTCAAATTGATTATGGCCAAAATTTCAATAATAAAAAAGTACTAAAAATGTTGTTATCTGAATACACAACAACATACAAAACAACAACAACGACAACATCGCCAATCAGAAAATAAGACATAAGCCTGTGCGCAGACGCAATGATCTGGGTTTAGCGGCGCTGAGAAGATTTTATGAGACAACGATGCTGATAATAACGATGACGACGACGACTACGTCTACATGACGGGGGCCAGTCAGAGACTCCTCAAAATTAAAAAAAAAAAGATTGGAAAAAATACTGAGATTAATGTTCAGGCAAAGATGAAGGCCAAAGCCAAGAAACAAGAAGTTGCCCCAATGAATGAAACAACAAAAAAAAAACAATAACAAAACAAAATGACGTTTGCAAACGTGAGTGCGGCGGCGAGCACACAAGTAATGAAGGGATTTTTCCAAAAAAAAAAAAAAAAAAAAAAAAAAAAAAAAAAAAAAAAACATTTCAAAACAATAATAACAGCAATGAGAATAATTCTGCTGGCCTACACCGCGTAAACACCGTTTTTTTTTTTTTTTTGGAGTGGAAGTATAAAAACCAAAGTGTTTGCCGGAATCAACAACAGTTACTTGCGAACTATTTCAACATACAACAACACCCCTCAACAAACTTAAACAAAATGTTCAAATCTGTAAGTTGAACGATCTTTCAAATCTTTTCAGCGATACATTTTAATTTTCTTCCGATTTTCTCCCCCCCCTTTTCCCTTCCAGATTGCCATTGTTGCCCTTTTCTGCTTGGCTGCCGCCCAGGCTGGTCTCATCGAAACCCACCATGTTGTCCAGGAACCCGTTCTCACTAAAGTCGGTGCCGTTGTCCACAGTGCCCCCTCCGCCGTTTCCCATCAAAGTTTCACCCGTGTCCACAACAAAGCCGTCGTTGCACCCATTGTAACACCCGTCGTTAAGACCACTGTCCATGCTGCCCCCGTCGTTCCTGTGGTCAAGACTGTCGAACATGTCCCCGTTGTTAAGACCGTCGAACATGTTCCAGTTGTGAAAACCGTGCAACCTGTTGTCCATGCCCTTCCTGTTGTGCACTCTGCCCCAGCTACCTTTGTCCACTCTGCTCCCATTGTCCACACCGCTCCAGTTGTGAAAACCTTTGCTCCAGCTGCCTACACCATCCATCATTAAAGTGGAGAGAATATGTTGACCTGTGATACGATTTGAATATTTTGTTGTTTAATTTTATGAAAAAAAAAAAAATAATACGAAGTGAAAACTAAAATTTATTGTTGATTCTACTGAGTGTTAACGAAGTTTCTACCAGGACTGTTCTGGACTGTTGAAACGTTTTAGGATTTTGATGGCCAAATTACCATAAATCCCTCTCTTAGTCAAGGACACCAATTTGGATATTTGCACAATCGAAGCAAGATGGAGTGCTTTTACTCATGAGAGTGCTTTTACTCATGAGAGAGTGCTCCAAGTGTACCAATATTTCAAGTTTACTCTCGGTGGACCCTTAAGAAGCATTTTTGAAGAATTTCTAGTAAGTTTTTTTTCAAGGATCATTTTTAAGAATGTTTTTTCAAGCATTGGTAAAAAGATGAATGGATTTAAGAACAATTTTTAAAGGTTCATCAGAACCTGGATTTTAAACAGATAATTTCAAGGATCCGTTGGCTGATCAGACGTGGATTTTGTGAAAAAAATGTTCAAAAGGTAAAACATTGATTTGTAGGAATTTTTCAAAGATAAATCACGGATGGATTATAAGAAGATTTTTTAAGCATCAAAAGTGAATTTTTAAATAGTTTTTTAGGATCAAACATGGACTTTCATGGTGATTTCTGCAGGGATAAAATGTAGATTTTTTAAGATTTTTTCCAGGAAGAAATCAAATCCAAATGTTGTTTTTTTTTTTTCAAGTATAAGTAGGCGAATCAAACGCGGATTTTTATATTATTCGAACCAGCTTTTTTAGCATTTTTTTAAAGTTCAAAAGGACTAAAACTGGATTTTAAGGCCAATCAAATCTGAGATTTTCAAGGATGAATGGGCCAATTTAACGAGGATTATAAGAAGATAATTTTAGAGACCAAGAGTGGTTCTACAGCACACTTTTTCAGTAGGACAATCATACGTGGATTTTAAGAGGATTGAGAGTCAAAGATCGATGTTTATACCATACACCACAAGTGGGTCAGGGTATTATGTCTTTGTGCATTTGTTTGTAACATGCAAAAGGAAACGAGATAGACCCTTAGTTCCTTTTGATGATCTGCATAGAATCACATTCTGAGTCGATTTATGCATGTCCGTCTGTCCGTCCGTCCGTCCGTCCATCCGTCTGTCCATGTATTTTTGTAAACAAAGTACAGTTCGCATTTATTGCCCTGTCCAGATGAAATTTTGCACAAATCATTTGTTTAGCCCAAGGATGAACCCTATTGAATCGGTCAAAATTTAGATATAGCTCCCATATATATATTCGTCCGATTTGCCTTTTATTGTGCACCAAACGTGTAATATCAGCCCGAATGGTATGGAATTTTGCACATACACCCAAATTAGGCCTGAAAATAAGTATGCCAAATTTGATCGAAGTCAGTTCAGATATAGCTATAGCTCCCATATATATATTGTTCATCCGATTTTGAATGAGAAAAGAAAACCAACCGAATGGTTTGGCTGTGGATTCAATTCTGATTTTATTTAAGAAATATGTTCCTTACGTACTACTGAAACTAATCTAACTTAACCTAGTCGCAGCCACACAATTGTTCTTATCTATTCTAATATTGAATGGAGAACATTGCAGGGCTGCTTGTAATTTCATTCAAGTGGTCTTGTGCATCTACTGAGCGCATCGATATCTGTGCCTGTGGGTCATAAACTTTATTATCTCACACATTATCGTATGCGTCAGCGCACAAGATCACTGAATTCTTCATATGTGATATTTTATGGCGGCTGGGAAATATTTAATTTTAGAACATTTATTTTTTATTTCTACATTTTCCCAGCGCCTCAATCGCACTCAAAAGTATGTACAAAGTATTTTGTACAGATTTGTTATTTTTATCCTCCGCAGCCGTAATATGCACACTGTAACAACAATATTTGGGGAAATATATCAAATGCAGCTCAGAAATACCTTTGCTAAATTTTATCGAGATCGGTTCAAATTTGGTTATAGCTCCCATACATATTGTTCATCCGATTTACCTTTGATTATGCACCAAACGTCTAATATTTGCCCAAATTGGATGAAATTTGGCACTTACGACCGAATTGAGTCTAGAAGCTAGTATGTCAAATATCGGTTCATATATAGCTATAGCTCCCATATAAACTGTTCATCCGATTTGTCATATTTGTTACCCACAGCCGTAATATGCACTCCGTAAAAACGATATTCAGAGAAATATATCAAATACAGCTCAGAAATATCTTTGCTAAATTATACCGAGATCGGTTCAGATTTGGATATAGCTCACATATATATCTTTATCCGATCTCAAATTAATTGTGCACCAAATGGGCAATACAAGTCCGAATTTAAAAGATACAAATGCTACGGCATATTCAGTCCTTTGAACTTTAAATTATAATTATAATCCTAGCATGTATGATTGAATTCTCCCATAAAAAAACTTTTAATTTTTATGTGGAGCTCTACCAAATTGGCAAAGTGGTGTAGGGTATCATAAAATCGGCCCCGCCCGACTTAAAGACTTTCTTTAATGGTTTAGGAATATCTTTTTCAAAAATAAAATTTGTATTTAAATGTCGTTTTTAAGAAAATTGTTTCAAGGATAACATTTGTTAATCTCTTTATTAAGAATACCAAGTTTTCTTTCGTAGATGACCAATATGTTTTTATACCCTACACCATAGCATGGAAGATATATTAAGATACATTTATATATACAATATACAAAGTATATATATTCTTGATCAGCATAAAATCCTATGTCGAGTTAGCGATGTCCGTCCGTCTATCCGACTGTCCGTCTGTGTTGATAAAATTTTACTCAAATTTGGGTTTTGAAGTTCGTAATGGATAATACAGCCTAAGACAGAAAATTGTCTGTGCATGTCCACGTTTTCGTATAGCCCCCATATAAAGGTGCCTCCCTTTATTCGGCATTTTGGTGATTTAAGCGACATTATTCACCGAAAACTTTTCAAATTTGGTATTTGAAGTTCAAAATGAATACTACAGCCTGTAACAGAAAATTTTCCGGGCAGGTCCCCGTCTTCGTATAGCCCTTTATGTAACAATACCTACCGATATTCGGTATTTTGATGATGTTAGCGACATTATTCACGGGAATTGTTTCAAATTTGGTATTTGAAGTTCGTAATGGATACTACAGCCTATGACAGAAAAGTGGCTATGCAGGTCCCCGTCTTCGTATTGCCCTTATATAACGGCACCTCCCGATTTTAGGTATTTTGATGATTTTGACGACATTATTCACCGGAATTGTTTCAAATTTAGTATTTGGAGTTCGTAATGGATACTACAGCCTATGACAGAAAAGTGGCTGTGCAGGTCCACGTTTTGGTATAGCCCCCATGGTACCTCCTTATTTTCACTATTTTAATTAGGGAATTTGATTAGGGAATTTGGTCGAAACGTTCAAAATATCAAAAAAAAAGGGTACTGCAATATTGCGGCTCTTACTTAATGTGGACCGATGTAGTCGATTTCAATACTAAATATCTTAGGAGTATAAGAAACATCTATGTCAAATTTTTTTAACCTCTCTTGCTTAAATAAATGCAATGATGTGTTTGCTAGTGGCATTTTCATTGGGGCAAACCTTAATATTTGTTTTCCATAATTCCAAGCGTTTTTGGGAACTCTCAAGTACACATTTCCAATTGCTTGCAGGATATATATTCTATTGACCTACGACCCCATACCGTAAAAAATTTACCGCCGTTAAGAAAGTCTTTATCCTCAATCGAACTCGGGCCTTGGCATGATTCTCATCCCACGAATTGGATCGATTTTTGCATCACCAATTGACCTTAATTTTATCCAAGGTATAATTCTCACAAATTTCAAATAGCCATTTGACCCTCTAGTCCTATTACATAATATATCTCGGCTTTAAATGTGGGGTACTGGAAAGTAGGTGAATCTCAAATAAAATTAAAGTTTTGTTTTTAATTTATTTAAAGGCAAAAATAACAAAAAAAAAAAACATGTTCCGCAACGAAACTTGGATCATTCAACTCCTTCCTCGTTTTTAGTGGACGAACACAGATTTAACGACGGGAGCAGCATGGACGACAGGAACAACGGGGGATGACACTACAGTTTTAACCACGGGAGCAGTGTGGACAATGGGGGTGGCAAAAGTTTTCACAACTGGAGCTGAGTAGGTGTGGACAACAGGGGTGGCAACGGTCTTCACAACTGGGACCACGGGGGCGGTTACAGTTTTGACGACTGGGACAACAGGAGCAACTGTTTTGACCACTGGAACAACAGGGGCTACAGTTTTGACAACAGGCACAACAGGGGCGACGGTTTTAACCACAGGTACTACAGGGGCTACAGTTTTCACTACAGGAGCTGCGGCATAGGTGTGGACGACGGGAGTAGCCACAGTCTTAACTACGGGAGCTACAATGTGGGTCTTGCTATGGATTTGACTGAAACTTTGGTGGGACACAGCGGTGGGAATGGTGTGGGCCACCTTGGTTACAACAGGTTGCACAACATGGGTTTCCGTTACCAAACCAGGAGCAGCCATGGCCACAGACAACAAGGCAAACAAGGAGACCTAAGGGGGAGATTTAAAATATAAATCGATTCAATTCGGTTGTCATTGGAAAGAAAATAGTCAAATTTAATTTGAGTTTCTTTCTTTTTCATCGCAACTTACAAATCCGAACATTTTTGCTGAGTTTTTGAAAAGATTTGGTTGTTATCACTGAAATAAGCTTGAAGTGAATGATGGTTGATGGTGACAATTTGTCAATTTTATATAGCAAATTGCAAAGTCCTTGTCTGAAACTGAAAACCCTAAGGTTTTTTTGTTTGTTTCCATTTTTAGACCTGACCTTACTCAATTTAATATTGTTTTCTTTTTTTAAAAAAACTAGTTTTTTTCGCAAATTGTGTAGCCATTGTAAAAATATTATTTTTAAATAATAAATTTTGAAATTATCAAAATCATGTTTCGATTTTTTTTACGGTCATCAATTGTGCTTCGATTCGCCAAATCAGCCTAACATTGAACTTGAACTGAAGTGAACTTCAAACAACTCCCGTTGACCAAACCAAAAAACAACAAAAACTATGGAGAGATCTATTACCACTTCATAGTATTTAGTTTTCAAGAGCAATCGGTATTGAATTGTTATGGCTAATTAAGAGTGCTTGAGATTTTGAAGCACTTGGCTTCAATTCAAAACAAAATATTCTCAATAATTTACTGCTTCTGTTTTATGGCTATTTAATAACAATAAATCAAATGATTTTTTTGCAACTTAATAAAATAGCTGAAATGAATGATTAATTAACCCTGATTCCGGAAGGAAGAATTTATGAAATGGCTAATAATTTCGCCAATCGATTATATTCGACAGAATTAAAATTAAATTTTGTGTTTTGGCCATAACTTGAATGTATGTTTAATTACTTCGTTTTTTAAGTAACGAAAAAATCTCTTCTACTTTGGCCATAACTCTTTAATTATAGATTTTTTTGCGTTTTTAGGGTGTTTTCAATTTACGTTTTTTCTACCATCCACCTTGAAAAGGAGTGTATATTAACTTTGGGAACGCCCTTGTAACATTCCTAAATATTCGTCGTAGACCCCGTCTGCATGTCTATCCGTATGTCTGTTGAAATCACGATAGAGCCCAGAGTATCTGACGTAGAGCTTCAAAATTTGGCAGAATAATGTGTATTGTGTCTAGGATGGTTGGTATTGAAAATTAAATATCGGTCCACGTTTTTGTATAGCCACCATATAACGGTACCTCCCGATATTCAATATTTTGATGATTTTCGCAACATTTTTTCGCGGATTTGTCTAAAAATTGGTATTTATAAGTCAAAATGGGTTATAGCTCCAATGGCGAAACATTGTATGTATAGGTCGATTTTTTTAATGATGTTTGCAAAATGTGGCAAAACAAACAAACGTGACCGTTTCATTCACCTTGCATCTTCGAAATAAACCAGTAATTTTTAAACTCATACAAAGAAATTCTCATTCACTTAACTGCATAAGCCGGATTAATATTTTAGTTCTCGAAAACTAGTACTCGTTAGCAAACACTTCAACCACGCTCAATCAATCATCAATCCGAATACTCCCGAATTGATATCCACCCGAATACTCCCGAGTCGACATCAAACCGAATGCTCCCGAGTCGATATCTATCGGAATACCTACGAGCCGACAGCAATCCGACAACTCCCGAATCGGCATCAACCGAGATACTTTCGAGTCTACACCTACGACAACGTCAGAGGACCCGAATGCTCCCGAACCGACAACTCGAAGCTATCGGTTCAAATTAACAGTAACCAGAGAATTATAATAAAACCCTGAAATTATAAATACTCGTTTTTTACTTAAGGTTTGTGGGTTCTTAGGTTTGTCCTGGTCTTCATATAGGCTCCGCATATCAGTACCTCCCTACGTTCGGCATATTGACGATTTTAGGTACAATATTCAACAAAATTGTTTGAAATTTCGTATTTGCAGTTCCTAATAGGTACTACAGCCTGGGACAGAAAATTGTTTATGCAGGTCCAGGTCTTCGTATAGGCCTGATATAACGGTACCTCGTTATATACTGTATTTTGATGATTTTAGACGGATTTTTTCAAGTTCATATTTAAATATTGTGATGACTTATGACAAAAGTTGCCAATGTAGTTCCACGTCTTCGTATAGACCTATATTCGGTATTTTTAAATTTTTAACAGACTTATTTATTTATTATTATTATTATTTTATTTTTTTTTTTTTTTTTGAAATTTCCAAATTTGCTCCAAATTGGTGAGTGTATTCAAAGTTCAACCCGGCCGAACTCAGCTAATTTTTTACTTGTTATCAATTAACATTTCCTTTTTTGATTTTGGCAATAACTCCTTTATTATTGATTATTTCGTGTTTTTCATGGTCTTTGTTTTCTTTTATTGAACATTTTGTCATTTCTTTCCTTTTGGCATTAACTCGTTTATTATTGAGTTTTTTGCGATTTTAGGGTGTTTTATCAATTAACACTTCATTTCCTTACTTTGGCCATTACTCCTCTTTTATTAAGTTTTTCGCATTTTTAGAGTGTTTTATATCTTCGTTTTTTTTTTAAATGTACATTTTGCATATTTCTTTGGCAAAAGTTTTCTCAAAGTTTACTTCCGTTCAAGTTCAATGTTAAAAGTGAGTTGCAAGGTAATTCATAACAGATGGCCATTTGAAAAATCATAAGCTTACAATAAGAATAATACAATTTTTAACAATAATAATGAAAGTAATACTACTATTTTATTTTCCTTCTCCACGAGTAAATCATTAACTATACAAAAACTTAAGAAAACGATATTGAGTACCTGAGACAATTCAATATTTTATTTAAGTTAGGTCAGCTACACATAGAATAACAATGACAAAGTCAAATAGTTTCAAGCCAAAGTCATATAAAATCTGCAAATTGTCGCCATCAACCATCATTCACTTCACACTCATTTCAGTGATAATAACCAAATCTTTTCAAACACCCAGCAAAATGTTCAGATTTGTAAGTTGTGACGAAAAAGAAAAAGAAACTCAAATTAAATTTGATATTTTTCTTACCACTGACAACTGAATTGAATCGATTTATATTTTAAATCTCCCTCTTAGGTATCCTTGTTTGCCTTGTTGTCTGTGGCCATGGCTGCTCCTGGTTTGGTAACGGAAACCCATGTGGTGCAACCTGTTGTAACCAAAGTGGCCCATACCATTCCCACCGCAGTGTCCCATCAAAGTTTCAGTCAAATCCATAGCAAGACCCATGTTGTGGCTCCCGTTGTGAAGACTGTGGCTACTCCCGTTGTCCACACCTATGCTGCAGCTCCTGTTGTAAAAACTGTAGACCCAGTTGTGCCTGTGGTTAAAACCGTCGCCCCTGTTGTGCCTGTTGTCAAAACTCTAGCCCCTGTTGTTCCAGTGGTCAAGACCGTAGCCGCCCCCGTGGTCCCAGTTGTGAAGACTGTTGCCACCCCTGTTGTTCACACCTACTCTGCTCCAGTTGTGAAAACTTTTGCCACCCCCATTGTCCACACTGCCCCCGTGGTTAAAACTGTTGTGTCATCCCCCGTTGTTCCTGTCGTCCATGCTGCTCCCGTCGTTAAATCTGTGTTCGTCCATTAAAAACGAGAAAGGAGTTGAATGATCCAAGTTTCGCTGCGGAACATGTTTTTTGTTATTTTTGTCCCTAAATAAATACAAAAAAAAAATTCAAATTTTTTTTTTCCTTTACCATGATTTTTTTGCGGATCAAACGGACAAACATTTGTAAAAATCCTAATGCGTACAACATTTCATGGGTTATGATATCGGTTGAGAGTATGGGTTTTCTAAAAGGGCATCATTAGTTCTAACCACATCATATATATAACCTGCGAGTTATGAGCTAAGTAATTCTCCAGAAATACTTGGAATTATAGAACAGATATTGGCTTTTGTCCCAATGACAAAGCCCCTCCCAAACGCATCGAATTTTTAGCAAGAAACGGAAATTTGCCACAGGTGATGTTTATTCTCCTGAGATGTTTGGTATTGTTTGGTAACGGTTGGAATTTATTAATTTGATCTCTTCGGTAGTAAAAGCCTTCCGGAATAGCGGACTCTTTTCCGTTCTGGTTCAGATATATACTTTTTATTATTTTAAGGAATTTGAGCAATTTTAAACTAGACTCTGTTGCAGAACAGTCTATTTGGTTGTCTCCTCTGAAGTATTCATTAATTACTGAACGAAAACCTATTTTCTAAGTCTTGCAAGAAGTCCACTTGTTTTTCCATGTGAAGATTTGGGTCTTCGTCTTTGACAGCAGGTTTCTTCAAATGCAATAGCATCGGATTTCTACCTGCGAATATTAAGGACTTCTTAGGTAACAAGTGTTCTTTAGGATTTTTTAAGAAATATGAAATATCTATTACCATTTTGTTCTTCTTGGAGAAACCATATAGATCAAGACCTAGGATAATAATTATGGGAAAACATTTTTGATACCCTCCACCAAACATAATATGGATGGTATATTAAGTTCGTCATTAGGTTTGTAACTCATCGAAATATTAATTTTAGACCCAACAAAGTATTATTGATAAGCGTAAAATTCTAAGACGATCTAGCCCTGTCCATCTGTCCGTCCGTCTGTTGTAATCACGCTAGAGTCAAAATGAATTAGGATAGGAAGCTACATTTTGGCACAGATCAGTCTCTTGTCGGCAGGCAGGTCAAGTTCGAAGATGGGCTAAATCGGTCCACGATATCGTATTGCCCCATATTCTATGTTTTGATGATTTTAATAACCTTTTTCAATGGAATTGTCTGAAATTCCTCACAAGAAATTCTTCGTGACTACTTTCCCCCCTGAAAAAGAATTGTCTATATATGTCTGCGTTTCAGTATAGCACCCATATAACGCTACCCCGAGATATTCGGTATTTCCAGAATTTTTGCAACATTATTCACCGGAATTGCGTCAAATGTCGTATTTGAAGTTCGTAATGGATACGACAACTTATGGCGGAAAGTTGTCTATTTAATTCCACACCTTAGTATAGCCCCCATACAATAAAACCTCCCTTTATTCGGTATTTTAATGATATAAGCGACATTATTTACCGGAATTGCGTAAAATTTCGTATTTGAAGTTCGGAATCGTTAAGACAGCTCCCATATAAAGGTTTTCATTTGAGCGGTATTTTTCGACGGATTTTTTGTTTTTTTTTTTTTAAATATTTTAAAGTTCCCTCCGAATGGTGGAGGGCATAAAAAGTTGGGATCGGCCGAACTTAGCTGCTTTTTTTACTTGTTCTAAAAGATGATCTATAGACTTTCTATTCGAATAAATATTGGTCTTCTCAGTGATGATTTTGCTCCATTATATCCAGGCATATTTTTGTTATAGAATAGTGGTTTCCTTTCCAATTTATTTTTGAAAATTCGTTTAATTGTCCTATGATCCCTAAAAAAATGGTCCAAAAAATCCACATTCCATACTTAAAACTTTACCTTTGATTGGCCTACTGATCATTGAAAAATCTTCTTAAATTCACGTTTAATTGATCTAGTTATTTCAGAAAAAAAAAGTTAAAGAGCATCAGTCGGTCTTGCCGATAGATTAATACCCTCAGAATTTATCCGTTTATTGAAATATATTTTGACATGTTTTAACTATGACCCTTTGTGGGTAAGGTATGGTCCGATATCTACCATCTTTATAACAGATCTTGTATTGATAGAAATATTGAGATGTGCCAATGGAATCGGATGTTAATTTTGCATTTTATGATATTCAAATTTTCAACCTTTGTGGGCGAGGTACCAGAAGGAATGATCCGATAAACTCCATTTTTACACCCGATTTTGTAATGATATGCCAAATTTTGACTTTTTGTGGAGGTGGAACTGGAAGGAGTAGTCCAATCTTGTCCAATCGCACCAATCTTGCGGTAATGCCAATATCACGATTTGCAAACTTTGAACGAAATCAGGTTATCCGTTCCCTTCTTATGCGGTAAGATATTTTCTATGAAAATTTGTACTTTTTGTGGGGGAGGTACCAGAAAGAGTGGACCGATATTGCCCGTCTCCTAACTTGATCTAAGTTCGACAAAAATATTACGATGTACCAAGTTTGGACCAAATCGGATACTCACGTCGAGAGTTATCGTCTGCAACAGCCAGACAGACGGACGGACATCGCTAAATCACTCCAAATGCCTTGAAACGAACTTGGTCCTGAAACGGATTTGATCTTATTGTTCCTTAAATCTCGTTTGATGCTCCCACTTAAAAAAAATCTTCTTAAAAATCTACATTTAATCTACTGGTCTACTGATCCTTGAGAATTTTTTTCTTAAAATTCCACGTTTCATTGGCGTATAGATCCTTGAAAAATCATACCGATTATTGAAATAATTTTTTTTAAAATTTACATTTAAATCTTGCTTATGATTCAACAATTCTTCTTAAAAATCCACATTTGAGCATTGACATCAAGTTCTGAAAATCCACTTCAAATTCTGAAAATCATCCTTGAAAAAATCTTGTTAAAAATCCACTCTCAACACTTTGGATTATTTCTGCTTCACGTTCGAAAAAAAGTTAAAAATCCTTGTTTGGTCAATACTTGTTTGATTATTGTACAAAATCTTCCAAATAAATCATATTTGAAACATCCATTTCATCCACATTTCATCACTGAAAAAATCCTTCTAATGTCTACATTTGATCCTTGAAATAACACATTATAGGTGAAAATTCTTCAAAATCCTTTTGGAATCTGCGTGTATTCCTTGAGAAAAAATATCGAAAGTTTTCTTAAAAATCCACTTAAAATTGCCCTTTTTCAAAAATTTTCTTAGAAATCCACGTTTGATTCTTGAAAAAATCTGTTATCTCCGATTTCTTAATTCTTGATTTTTTTACATTTTCCCCCGTTTTGCAGACAACAACAACAACGTTTACTTGCCATGGAGGAAGTTTAAATTCGGTTTCTATAGCTTAAGCAGTTTACATTCAATAACAACGCTAATGAGCTCCAATTAATCAACCAACTATCTACATACCTACATACCCTAGTGGTGGCTATGCAGTGCAAAAATTGTCAAAGCACTTGAAAATCGCTGGCCATTGTGGAGCAACAAAACCCCCATAAAGGTCAAATTGGAATAAAAGAAATTCGAAGCATAATAGCAAGCGTGTAATGGCCCACAAAAATTGTCAAATTGGATGAATTATATAAAATAGACACCCTTTCAATGGTAAATTATCATTCACTTCAGGCATTATCCAGTGATAGCAACCGAACCACCACCAAAAAACCTCAAGATGTTCCAATTTGTAAGAAATTCAAAATTGTTTTGAAAAATATTTCAAATTAATCTAAAAATTTCCAATTCTCGCTCCTAGTTCTCATTCTTTGCTTTATTGGCGGTAGCTGTGGCCACACCTGGTCTTGTGTCGGAAACCCATGTTGTCCAGCCTGTGGTAGCCGCCAAAGTGGCTCATGTTGTCCCCTCCGCTGTGTCTCACCAAAGCTATAGTCAAGTACACAGCACCAGCCATGTTGTTGCTCCCGTAGTCAAGACTGTTGCCGCCCCAGTTGTCCATACCTATGCTGCTGCTCCTGTCGTGAAAACTGTTGCCGCCCCGGTTGTCCACGCCTATGCTGCTGCTCCTGTCGTGAAAACTCTTGCCACCCCCGTTGTCCACACCTATGCCGCTCCAGCTACTGTGGTCAATACTGTAGCTCCTGTGGTCAAAACTGTTGCCGCCCCCGTTGTCCACACCTACTCGGCTCCCATTGTCAAGACTGTTACCACTCCCGTTGTCCATCACACCTACTCCGCCCCTGTGGTCAAGACCATTGCCACCCCCATTGTTGCTAAGGCTGTGACTCATCATTCCAACACCCAAGTCCATCATCACACTTCGGTTGTGTCTCCCGTTGTTAAGACAGTTGTGTCCGCACCAGTTGTCAAAACTGTTGCCACTCCAGTTGTCCACACCTATGCCGCCCCTGTGGTCAAGACCTATGCCGCTCCAGTTGTCCACACTGTTGCTGCTGCTCCTGTTCCAGTTGTCAAAACCATTGCCACACCAATTGTGGCCAAAGCTGTGAGCCATCATTCCAATGTTCAGGTTCATCATCACACCTCGGTTGTATCACCTGTTGTTCATGCCGCTCCCGTTGTCAAGTCCGTCTATGTCCATTAGAATGGGAGAAAGGAGTTGAATGATCATCATATTTGTTTGATATGTTTGTTGTGAAATGAAATAAAATAAATTGTTGAAAAGTATTTAAATGTAAACGTTTCCATTTCGAAGAAGAAAAAATGCTGATATTCCAACAGGAAAAAATTAGTCTTTTATAAAAACCCCATTTTTTCTATGAAAGTCCTATTGGTTTTTTATGAAAAGACTAAGTTGTCTTCTACGAGAAGATATACTGATTTTAAAATTGATCCTAGTGCTCCTTAAAAATCATGGTAAAAATCCACGTCTGATTGACCTTATGGTTCTTGAAAAGTTATTCCTGAAGATCAACTTTTCATAGGGCTGATGAAAACATAAAATTTTTGAAATGTCAACATTTTATCGTTAAAAACGTCGTCATGAAAATTCATGTTTAATCCTTGAATAAATGCCAATAAATATCCACATTTGATTGGGCTAGTTGTCCGTGAAAAAATTCTTCTAAATATCAACATTTGATCCTTAAAAAGTATCCTATATGTTCACTTTTGGGGTCTTTGAAAAAAGATATTATTGAAAAAATCTTCTCTAAAACCCCGCTTTTGATTGACCCAATAATCCCTGGAGAAAATCGTTTAATCCTTGAAAAAATTGCCTTAAAAATCTTAGTTTTTTGGCCCAGAGGTCCCTGAGAAATTCATTCAAAAAATCCATGTTTGATCCTTGAAAAAAATCTTTTTAAAATTCCCTTGAAAAATCTTTTGAAAAATCCAAGTTTGATCCTTGAAATAAATCTTTTTAAAAAACCACCTTTGATTGTCCTGCTGACCATTGAAAACATCTTCCTAAAAACCACCACCAGATCCTTTAAAAAATCTTCTTGAATATCCATCTTTGATTGGCCTGCTGATCCTTGAAAAATCTTTTTAAAAAGCCACGATTAATGTCCCTGCCTATCCTTGAAAAAATATTTTTAATAATACAAATTTGATGGCACAGCTGATCTTTGATTTTTTTTAATCCAAGTTTGATCCTTAAAAAAATCTTCTTGAAAATCCATGTTAGATCCTTGAAAAATCTTCTTAAAAATCTACGTTTGATCCTTGAAAATTCTTTTTCTCTTCTTAAAAATCTACGTTTGATCCTTGAAAAATCTTTTTGAAAATCCATGTTAGATCCTTGAAAAAATCTTCTTAAAAAACCATGTTAGATCCTTGAAAAAATCATCTTAAAAATCTACGTTTGATCCTTGAAAAAATCTTCTTAAAAATCTACGTTTGATCCTTGAAAAAATCTTCTTAAAAATCTACGTTTGATCCTTGAAAATTCATTTTAAATATCCACGCTTGATCCTTGAAAAATCTTTTTGAAAATCCATGTTAGATCCTTGAAAAAAATCTTCTTAAAAAACCATGTTAGATCCTTGAAAAAATCATCTTAAAAATCTACGTTTGATCCTTGAAAAAATCTTTCTAAAAATTCACGTCTGATCCTTGAAAAAATCTTTTTTAAAAAACCACGTCTGATCCTTGAAAAAATCTTTTTTAAAAAACCACGTTTGATTGATCCTTGAAAAATGTTTTTAAAGATCCACGTTTGATTGATCATTGAAAAAATCTTTTTTTAAAAATCCACATCTGATCCTTGAAAAAATCTTTTTTAAAAATCCACGTCTGATCCTTGAAAAAATCTTTTTAAAAATCCACTTCTGATCCTTGAAAAAATCTTTTTAAAAATCCACGTCTGATCCTTGATAAAATCTTTTTAAAAATCCACGTCTGATCCTTGAAAAAATCTTTTTAAAAATCCACATTTGATCTTTGAAAAAATCTTTTTAAAAATCCACGTTTGATGGCGCTGCTGATCCTTGAAAAAATTATTTTTTAAAAAATCCACGTTTGATCATTGAAAAAATCTTTTTAAAAATCCTCGTTTGATGGCGCTGCGGAGGCTTGAAAAAACTTTTTAAAAATCCAGGTTTGATGGCGCTGCTGAGGCTTGAAAAAAAAAACTTTTTAAAAATTCACGTTTGATGGCGCTGCTGAGGCTTGAAAAAAAAAACTTTTTAAAAATCCACGTTTGATGGCGCTGTTGAGCCTTGAAAAAAAATTAAAAATCCACGTTTGAAAAAACTGCTGAGCTCTAAAAAAAAAATTAAAAATCCACGTTTGATGGCGCTGCTGAGGCTTGAAAAAAAAAAAAAAATTTTTAAAAATCCACGTTTGATGGCGCTGGTGAGGCTTGAAAAAACAACTTTTTAAAAATCCACGTTTTTGGCACTGCTGATCCTTTAAATTTTTTTTTTAATCCACGATTGATGGCGCTGTTGTGTCTTGAAAAAAAATTAAAAAATCCACGTTCGAAAAAACTGCTGAGCCTTAAAAAAAATTTTAAAAATCCACGTTTGAAGGCGCTGCTGAGCCTTGAAAAAAACTTTAAAAATTCACGTTTGGCACTACTGATCCTTGAAAATTTTTTTTAATCCACGATTGATGGCGCTGTTGAGTCTTGAAAAAAAATTAAAAAATCCACGTTCGAAAAAACTGCTGAGCCTTACAAAAAAAATTTAAAAATCCACGTTTGATGGCGCTGCTGAGCCTTGAAAAAACTTTTGGAAGAATTGTTAAAATCCACGTTTGATTGGTCAAAGATTGATTGTCCTGCTGATGCTTGAAAAAAAAATATATTAAAAACACTTTAGATGATATTTCTGATCCTTGAAAAATATTTTTAAAAATTCACTTCATAAAATCTACTTTCGATCTTTGAAAACATATTCCTAAAATCCACATTTCTTCCATGAAAAAAATTCTCATATATTCAGGTTTGATCCTTAAAAAAACTTTAAAAAACCAGGTTTGATCCTTCTTAAAAATCTACGAAAAAGTCCTCTTTTTATTTTTAGCAATTAGTGGGCCTTATTAGCCTTAAATTCATTATAACTTATATAGGGTGCTGGTATAATTTTGGTAACATTTGGAACATTATGGGCCGGGCTGAAAATGCCAAATGGGCTGGGGTGTGCACAGGACTATTGAGGACTGGAGTTTCCCCTTTATATGAAATCGAAGGATCTGCCGAAATATATTTATTGGAATACTGATGGCTGGGAATGGTATCTAGCTGCTGTGTATTTTGTTCCTCTGGAAACACTACTTTGGAGAGGATTGGATTTGTAGAGGATCCCACAATGAGTCCTTCATGAGTGGGTGTCAAAATCTTAAGTTTGGAATCCTTTGCCATGCCATGGGTTATGGTTTGATGGGAATATGCTGTGGATCCATGGGTGGTTTCGTGGCGTATCACGCCGGCAGAGGTTGAGGCGATCAGCAGCAATAATGCGAATAAAAACTAAGAGGAAATCAGTTTAGAACTCTATTTTTTTTTTCAAAATTTCAATTAAAGCTTACTTCCATTTCCAGCCTTCCCTCAGTTTGTGATCTGCTACTTCCGTTTGGTTATTTAAAAATAATTGCTATTTCTAATAATTATTCCATACTTATATATTAAATTCGATTTCAAGACACTCCCATACCAAGACGAGAAGATAAAAGAAGACGTGCGGAGTAGCAGAAGAATTCCCCTTGAATTTGAATATTGAAAGATTTTTTCAAGCCAGACGTCTAATTAAAAACTAATGTATTTCTCTTGATTTGACATTTTGCCTGGGATTTAGAGGCCGTTTTTATCGTGGATAAACTCATATGTGTTGTCTTTCAAAAACAATATGAAAAAAACCATAAAACACGACACCCATAGCTCATAAATTCCTTTCCTCTTAATTTCTCGTTACTTTGGATATTCATTTTTTTGCCGATCAATTAATCACTCAAATGAGTTTTCGATATTTAACAGCTTTTTTTTTCTTTAGTCTGCCAACTCCAAATATTTGCTGTTGTTGTGGCATACGGACGAAAGCTTTGATTTTTTTCTTTCAATTGCACCAGTATTCGAACTGTATTGAAATTAGCTGTAAGTCAATACTCAAACCAACGCATAGAGTGGCAGACAGCCAGAGGGTCGGACGGACGGAAAGACAGCCAGCCACGACAATTTCCAGCCCAAATACTCTTCGGTTGGCTGGCTGGCTGGCTCACTTCATCACAACACCAACAACATCCAGCGCGCGCACACTTCAGCCAAATTGTTGAGTTTAATTTGCGGTTTGGAGTCATTCCTTCTTTAACTGGTTATTTCGATTATTTGGTGTCGCTCTATTACCTCAATCTGCTGAGTAATAAGTTCGGTTATTAGCACTTGCTGTTGTTGTTTTTATTTCACAGATTTATTTTGTTGTTAAATAAGATTCAGACACTTTGCTGCTGCTACATTGAGAGGGTGGCTATCCCATGACTTGTTTATTGAAATGTCACGTTCAATACTGCATCTTAGAGTGAGGAGTTGGAGGAAAATATGTTGAAATTTTTCATTTCTTCCCAATTTGTTTATCCAGCCGGAGTTAGACCATAAGTTGAGGAAATTTAAGTAAGAAATAGCGTTATGTTTTTTTGCGGACCAAATTTTGGTTGGAGTTTGGGTCATATGTCAAAATTTAGGAATAGTATACATCCATTGCAATTCAAAATAAGACTTATAGTCAATTAAATCGAAATATATTGATAAGGCATTAAGAATATCTCAGTCGGGACTATTCCTAAACGTATACCAATATTGAACAAGTTTAAGAGTATGCATTGTACCCACAAATATTTCAAAAAACCAACTATCAAGATCTTCGGACAAACAAAACAAAATAATTTATTTCGAGTAGATCATACGACCTATCAACATTTGGCTTTAGAGCAGTATAATTTGCTATAGAGTGCATGATATCACTTGGAGAAGGATTATATTAAAAAAACAAGTAAGCAAAAGCTATACTCGTGCGGGGCCGACCATGTGATACCTACAACACTACAATATGTTCGAAGTCCCCTTATATCCAAATCCATTTTGGAATATTTCGTTTTTGAAATAATGTCAAAGACCCCCGCCCAGTGATTACCCTTAGTTTTTTGACCCGGAGAATTTGGCCAATATTTACGCACTCCGTAGTGTTGTTAAGTATTCAAAACAATTTCACACAAAAGTTGTGGTCTATTTTACAGCTAAATAAAATCCAATGGTCATCCAAAATGCTAGACTTCTTGCCGGTCCTTAACTCTCTTCTGATGCGAAATTCCGCGTCGATTAGTTTTCAATTGTGGCCTATAGAGCGACTACAAATTTAAAAAAAAATGTTTTTTAGTCCAATTGCACCTCTAAATGTACATCTTAAGAACAATGGGCTTTTATTCTGACCCTAACCCTACCCCCATGCAAAATTTCGTGAGGATCGGACGATAATTGCAATATGCCTATAATACCCTCAAAATGTAGTGTTGGGAGTGCAGAAATTTAGAAAATTTACAATTCAAAATTGTAAGTCAAATTGAAAAAAACGCATGCGATAAAAAATATGACAAAAATTTAAAAAATTCGACAAAAGATATTCACTTTTTTATTGGTATATTTTTCCGCGATTTTCTTAGATTTTATTGTTTTGTGGCAAGAGACCATTCCGAAATGATGGGAATTGTGAAAATCGGCCCAGCGGTTCTTGATTTATAAGCAGAATAAATAAGATCAATTCTTTTACATGAAATGAATTGTCCTATTTTACTATATATCCGATTTCTTGGCTATTAACATCACTGTAATGGTCAGAAGTGATATTTTAATGTATTTTTGATTTGACTGGGATTGAAAATATTCGCGTTTTGGTGGACATTTTCCTATTTTCTTACATAAAAGTTTGGGTCTATTTTACCCGCTAATTATTGTCCGAAGACCGCCCAAATTGGTAGGTTTCTGCCCACTCCTAAACTCTAACTCCATGTAAATTTTCGCGTCGATTGGTTTATAATTGTAACCTATAGAGCAACTGCAAAATCGGTGAAATTTTCTGTTTTTGGTCCATTTCAACCCCTAGATATCGTGCGATCATCTCCAAAAACAATAGGGTTCTGTTCTGACCATAACCCCACCTCCATTTTCGTGAGGATCGGTGCATAATTGCGACCTGCAGCTTGATTACAAATTAACATGGACAGACGGACGGAAGGACATACATAGCTAGATTGACTCAGCTCGGCGAGATAGGAAGATCCATATAAACTTTCCTATGTGGGAAATCAATATTTCGTGGTGTTACATAATTTTTGGCCCAATCAAACTTATAATACCCCCAACACATAGTGTTGTAGGGTATAATAAATACCGGAGACGAGTTACACAAAATGGAAACGTACGTCTCGAAATTCACTCCATTTTGGCTAATATTAGCCATTATCTGCACAATAAACCTGAAATCGGATTTAGGATATACATATGAGCTACGTTCAAATCTTAGGTGATCTCGATAAAATTTGTCAAAGGTATTTCCGAGCACTTCCATATATCTGGTAACAAATATCATTGTATCCGAATGCATATTACGAATGTGAGGAACTTAAAGCCCTAAATCGGATGAAACCTATATATGGAAGCTATAGCTATATCTGAACCGATTTTCTCCAAATTTGATGTACTTGCTTCTGACTGAATTCAGTCAGATGTACCAAAAATTCAGAACTTTTTGATTGATATTGGCCATATAGCGCACAATTAACCCGAAATCGGTTGAAGATATATATGGGAGCTATATCCAAATCTGAACCGATTTTGATAAAAATTTGGCGGACGTATTTCTGGGCAGTATATGATATGAAAGATCATTGTTGTGGAATGCATATTACGCTTGTGAGGGACTTCAAACCCCAAATGGGATAAAAAAATACATTCGGAAGCTATAGCTATATCTGAACCGATTTACACCAAATTTGAAGAACTGGTCTATAGGATGAATTCAGTCGTAATTGAAGAAATTCAGTCCATTTGGGCTGATATTAACCATTTAACGCACAATAAACCTGATATCGGATAAAGATATACATATACAATCTGAACTGATCTCGATAAAATTTGGCAAAGGTAATTTCGAGCAGTATCTGATGTACGGTTCCAAATATCATTCTTCTCTAGTGCATATTACGCACGTGAGACTTAAGACGTTGAAGATATATATGGGAGCTATATCCAAATCGGAACTGATCTTGACAATATTTTAGGCGCTTATTTCTGACCTGTATCTGACAACTGGTACCAAATATCATTGTTGTCGAATGCATATAACGAATTTGAGGGACTAAAACTCCAAATCGTTTGAAACATATATAAGGGAGCTATAGCTATATCTGAATCGGTTTTCTCCAAATTTCTAGACTGAATTTTGTCGGATATGCCAAAATTCAGGTAATTTGGACTGATATTGGGCAATTGGTGCTCAAAAAACCTGAAATCGGATAAAGTTATGTATGGGAACTATATCCTAATCTGAACCGATCTTGACAAAATTTTTAGACACTTACTTCTTAGCTGTATTTGATATCTTCTACCAAAGATCATTGTTTTGTGGAGTGCATATTGCGCATGTGCGAAGCTAAAACCCCTACATCGGATGAAATGCATATGGGAGCTATATCTGAACCGATTTTCACCAAATTTCAAGTTATTTGGACTGATATATACGTGGAGCTACATCCTTACCTGAACCGATGTATTTTCGAGGAATACCTGATGTCCGGTACCAAATATCATTCTTCTGGAGTGCATATTACGCATGTGAGGGACTTAAACCCCCAAATGAAACATATATATGGGAGCTATAGCTATATCTGAACTCCTCCAAATATGAAGTACTTGCTTCTATAATGATTTCGGTGGGATGTACCAAATTACAGGTCATTTTGATTTGTATTAGCCATTAAATAAATAAATAAATATAAGGGAGCAATATGTAAATCCGATCCGATTGTCACCAATTGCAATAGGGTTCGTCATTGGGCCGGACAAATATTGTTTGCAAACCCTCAGAGGTAGCAGAAGGAATGGTCCGATCTCTACCATTTTTAACAGAGATCTTGCGTTGATGGAAATATTAAGATTTGCCAAGTCTGAATGGCATCGGATGTTAACTTCGCGTTTTATGAACATCATAGATATTCAAAATTTGAACCCTTTGTGAAGAAGGTACCCGAAAGAGTGGACCGATATATTCCATCTTCACACCAGACAAACGGACTCTTACATCACATGTTATAAGAGTTGTATTTATTCCAAATTTTGACGCCTTGTGGGGGAGGTACTTGACGGAGAGGACCGATATTGTCCATATTCGCACATGACGTAGCACTCATGAAATTATTAGGATTTGCAAAGTTAGAGCAAATTGGATTATCCTTTCTCTTTCGGTGCAGTAAAATATATATTTTTTTTTGGAAAATTTCGACCTTTTGTGGGGAGGTACCAAAAGGAGTGGACCGATATTGCCCATCTCCGAACACGATCTTAGTTTGATAATAATATTACGATGTACCAAGTTTGGATCAAATAGAATACTCCCTTCGATGGTTATCGTGCGCAACAGCCAGACAGACGGAGGACATTGCTAGATCAACTCCAAATGTCCTGAAACGGATTTGGTCCAAAGAGACCTGGGGTCGAAAACTGTTATTTCGATGAGGCAGATTTTGGCCGTATCAAATGCTATACGGCTCCAAATGTCCTGAAACGTATTTGGTCCAAAGAGACCTGGGGTTGAAAACCATTATTTCGATTAGGCACGTTTAGACCATATCAAATGATATATACCCTCTGTAGCAATATGGCTGTGGGTATAATTACATAAGGCTATAATTTATAATTGAAAACATGGACGACCGTACGTAGCTCCCTTCAAGTTGCCGCATATCACCTGCAGTTTCTGAATTTTATTAATAATGTTTGCAAAGGCTTTCAACACGTCGGGGAAAAAATGTTATAAGCCGTGCCTTTTTATTTCTAAAAGGTACACAGAGTTGAGTAAATGTTATTACAACTCTACATACATGGTTGGTTGTTAGTCTGTCTGTCCGTCTGTCTGTCTATATTTCATACGGAGTACAACCTTCACTTTTTTGTTGTGCACAAAAAAAAAACACTGGCATCAAATAAAAAAATTAACAGCAAAAAGCAACATGAACATGAGCGCGAAAAAATCGAGCTGAAACAATTGCCAAGCATTGTGTGATTTTGTTGCCGTCTATTGCATGGCTTCGTCGGACGGATGAAACGGAAGGGAGGAAGGAACTGATGGAATGGAGTTTCTTAAGTTACCTACTACCAAACTCTACTACCTTTGGGTTTGGGTACATATTTCGGTATTCTGACATCAATCGATTGTTGTTGTTATTGCCGTTGTTGTTGCTGTTATTTGTTTGTTTGGTTTACGTAAATAAATAATTGTGTGCCCATACATATGTATGAATATTTGTTGTGAAGCATTAGCTTACCTTCCTGCCAGATTTTCAAACTAAATCACTCAATTCCGAGCAATGTTGGCTTGCAGATCAACTGCAGCTGTTGCTGGTGCTCCACTCTGCTCTGCTCTTGAGTTACTCTTAAGAAGTAACGACCACAAAACAACACCAATAGCCGGCGCGTTAATGCCAAAGCAATTGCCACTCCATCCATCCAACCAGCCATTCACAGCGACAACAAAATAAACCCATAACCAAAGATATAAACATTTAACAAAAAGCAAATAACAATAATAACAACAACACAATTACAAGAAAAACTAAATAATTTTTGTTTTGTTTTTGTGTTTTTTGTTGATCACCAAAACAAAGCGTCAGTGAGTGGAGCTCTTTCAGACCATAAACAACGAAACAGCCAGGCGGCCATTCCAGTCAGTCAGTCATCGATCCGTCCAACCAAGTTGTCCAACATCATGAACAACAAAGTAAGTGTGATTTGTTGTAAAATCTATAATTAATATGGTCTGTGTGTCATAAATTTCCATTTCAATTTTTGGTGGCCGCCAATTTGCCTCACCTGGAATCCCCACCTCTGCACCTAAAGCAGCACCATTTCACAATTCCTTTGGTGGGTTTGCTCTGTTGCTGTGTCCTCTTTACCACACTGGGTCAGCCGGTCACCTCCAAGTCGCTGGTCATTGATGCCGCACCCTCGGTTGTATCCTATCAGGGCTCATCGCAATCCTATGCCCATTTGGTGATCTCGCCGCGGGGTAGGGCTCTCGGCTATGTGGCACCCACAAATCTCAATCACACGGTCCATCACACGGAGAAGGTAAAAGAAAGTTTGGATTTTTTGGATATACGACCGGTTTACAATAACCATAATAATTAGTGGAAGACCTCCCCCTTCCACCTCCACCACCCTCTTCCAAGTGTATAAATGTTAATGGTATTTATGTATGTATGTATGTTTATTTTTTTGTATATTGTAATAATGTCTAATCGTAGTAGTGTTACCAATTTTGTTAAATGAAATTGTGCAAAAGAAAAAGAGAGTGTGTTTTGGCCATAAATTAAAATCTGAAATTGGATGAATCCGATCCAAACAACCAACCAACCAACATCCGCATATCTTTTATGATCTTTGTTGTCTCTGGTTGCATATTTTTGGTTTTGAGTGTCTCGTATTTTTGTAACGTGTGTGATTTCATGTCTTGTCTTGGTGTTATTGCAAAGTATTTTTTTTTTTTTTTTGCTTTTTTTAATTGAATTCAATGTGAATTGAAAACGGGGACCAACCAAACCAGTTTCCATGTTCTAAAAATGCAGACAATCTGGAAATCTTTGACATAGACACTGTTCAAAAGCCACAAATCGAAGAATGTGATTTGCGTACACTCGAGGAAAAAGTGTAGAGAAAAGAAATCAAGCACTGTTCAAAAAATATTCAGAAATTCACAATTGCCTCTGTTAATCATTGAAAAAATATTTTTAAAAAATCCAGTTTTTTGTCCTCGCCAAAAATATTCTTAAAAAGTCACAATTTCCCGTCCTTTGGTTCTAAGTATTAGTCCTTTAAAAAATTCAAAAAAAAAATTAAACAAATTCTTATATATATTTTAATCCATGATAATGACTTTACTTGTTCTTAAAAAAATATTTGTTAAAAGTGCAGATTTTTTGGACATGAAAAAAGTTCTTTAATCGTCACGATATTCAATCTGCTGGTCTCGAAAATTTGTCTTAAAATCCGAAACTTGGTCCTTGAAAAAAAAAATGGTTCTTGGGAAAATATTGTTTAAAAACAATGTTTTTTGTTCTTGAAAACATCCTTGAGAAAATCTACAGGGTGCGATAAAAAAACTGCAAGAAAGTCAAACGCCATAATTTTTAATTTTTTTTATTGAAAAAAAAAAATTCGGAAATTGCATCAAATTTTAGAAAAAGTTTAAAATGGTTTGAATTGGTCAACTTTGGTATGAATTATGGCCTTCAAACGGCCAATGAAACCGTCACACGCTGCCCGAATGTTGTTCTGCGGTATTTTGGCCCATTCTCGGCGACGCGTTTGCTTGAGGTGATCGACACTTTGGTATTTTTTAGTGCCAACCTTGCTTTTCAAAATACTCTAGACACACTAGTCCAACGGATTAGTATCCGGATATTTTGGTGGCCATTGTGCGCTGGAAATGAAGCGAAGAACCTCATTTTGTAACCATTGGTGGGTGGCGCTTGCTGAGTGCGATGGTGCTGAGTCCTGTTGGAATGTCCAAGGTCTGCGGCCGAAATGTTTGCCTGCCCAAGGCTTTATTACACACTCCAGAATATTTTCGCAATAATATTCGGCATTTATTCTGATGCCACGGTCGATTAATACGAGAGGAGAGCGACCATCAGCTGTTATGGCAGCCCACACCTTTACCATGACTGGTGCTTGAATTCTGGTGGCCAACGGAAGGTGCACATTTTCAGCTGACCTCTTTGGCAAGTAAACACGATCATTTTGTTTGTTTACAAACTGCTGGACAACGAATGGTGAAATTGGTTTTCTCATCGGAGAAAACCAAATTCGGCAATTCGGTAAGACGAATGTGGTGAACTGCCGGATTTGGTTCACCAGTTCACCAAATTTGGCCAAGCCAAGCAACTCTTTAGCTCTTTGGAGTCTATTTTCTTTCTGTTGCGGTGTAACTTCTTGCACTTTTTGGAATTTCAATGGCTCATTTTTCATCCTTCAATATTTGCCGAATGGAATATTGCGATATGCCAAATATAAAGAAATTAAATTTTCACGCTTGAATTCCATCACGAAGAACTTTTTTTCTGGAAAATTATATATTATAATCATTTAAAAAATATATCTAAAAACCAGGTTTGCGGCTCAAAATCTCATGGTAATGATACGCAGAGTCCTTAAAAAATATTCTTAAAATACACACGTTTGTCCTCAATTGGTTCTTGATGATTTTTCTAAATTTCGGTTGATCCTTGAAAAAATAAAAATACCCTTGACCCACGCAAGTTTGTGACACAGAAAAAATATTCGTTACAAATTCAAGATTGTGACCCTGAGGATCCTTGAAAAAATGGGCTATAAAAATTCCCGTTTATGTCTCTTTAAATTTCCTTGAAGAAATATTTGTTAAAAATCCTCGTTTGAGCCTCTCGTTTAAGAATCGGTGGGTGCTTAAAAATTCACATTTGTGACTCAGTTGATCCTGGAGATATCTTCAGATAGTCCTTAAAATATAGGCTTCATGGGCCCAGGAAAAATAAATATTTTTAAGAAATCCTCTGATGGTCATTGAAAATATATGTTTTATACACCGTTTCGTGGATCCTTAAAACTATCGTTCCTTGCAAATCCATGTTTAAGAATCTATTGGTGCCTGAGAAAATATTCCTTAAAAATTCACGTTTGTGGCTCAGTTGATCATTGTAAAAATGTGGTTAAGATATATTCTGATAGTCCTTAAAATATACACTTAAAATCGACGTTTATGGCTTCGAGAGTCCTTCAAAAATATATTTATGAAATCCTATGATGATCCTGGAAAATATATTTCTTAAACATCGTTTTGTAGATCTTTAAAAAAAAATCACATTCGTTAATTTTTTTCAAATCCTCATTTGTGGCTCTATTGAGCCTCGATAAAATACTTCTTAAAATCCACGGTTGAGGCTCAGTGGGTTCAAATTTTTTTTTTTTTAAATTCACGTTTGAGGCTTCGTGGGTCCTTGAAAAAGTATATTTAAGAAATTCTCTGATGGGCCTTTCTTAGAAATCGTTTCGTGGATCTTTAAAAAAACATTTTTTTTTTTAAATTCACATTTGTGGGTTCTTTAAAATATATTCTTTTAAAATTCTTGTGGCTCAATCGACACTCGATATAATATTAGTTAAAAATCGACAGTGAAGGATCAGTGCATCCACGAAAAAAAGGAAATTCTTTAAAATCCGCGTTTGCGGCTCTGATGTTACTAAAAACTTATTTTTTAAAAAACCCGTGTTTGAGGTTCTATTTTTATATCCTCAGCCATATGGCCACAGAGGGCATAAATCAATTGATGCGGTTAAAGGGTGAACATCGAAAGAACAGTTTTAGACAAAATTTGTTTCAGGACATTTGGAGTCGATCCAGGGATGTTTGTCCGTCTGACAATAACTCTCGAGTTGAGTATGTAATTTTATCCACATTTAGTACTTTTAAACTAAGGTCGAGTTCCAAGGCGGGCAAGACTCATCCTCCTGGTACCTCCACCAACAAAAGGTTAACATTTTTACAGAACTTAATTTACAACAAGAAAGGATCATCTGATTTTGTTCTAAATTTCCAATCCTCATATTTGCATCAGTGATAGCTTAGGTGCGAAAATTAACAATATCAGTCGACTCTATTATGTACCATACCACAAAGGCCTAATATTTTGAACAATCATAATCATCCTATTGTCTCAAAATTTCGCACAACCCAATATTTTTATCAACACGAGAGCTTGTGTGAAGATTGGACCACTCCTTCTGCAATTACTCAAAAAATGTAAATATTTTGAATAACCATAACTCTCTAAAAGGCGAAAGAAACATCTGATTATTTGTAAGTCCAAATACATATACAAACACAAGAACATAAAGCATGTCAAAATATATTTTAAACATATTTATTTTTTTATTAAAAAAAACATCTTGCAAAAATTGAAAGCATTTGTTTTACTTTTGCTTTCTAAGCCCTTGTACCCCGACACTTACCTCACCCCTACATAAGACCACTCACTCTAAATTTCATAATCCAATCGCTTATAAAGTATATATTACAAAGTAATATAGTTATATCACACATATTACTTATTACACGTCATCAGTTATCTTATATTTGCCCACCCACATGTATGAATTACGATGTGTGAGATTAAAAATTTATTTATGTTATAAACTTAATTGAATACAACGAAAGAGATTAAATTGTCAATGTGATCATATTTCAACATTTATATAATGCGAGTTATATTATTCAATTTACATCATATTGGTATATATAATATAAATATAAATTCGATTTCGATAATCTTAATCTTATGACGTAGAGATGACCTAAGATAATCGAATGACTGAGATAATAGATTTTGCAATACTGACACAATATTATGGATAAGATTTAGGAATTATTTACTTTCAAAATTTTATTTTTGTTGTCAAAGATTCATCAGCAGAAAATTATTAAGTTTATGAGAAATGACAATTTGAAATTTGTGCACCCTCTAATGCCTTACATTTTATCGTATATTTCCAGCCAAAATTGCCATTATCAAATAATTAGTTTTCAAATCAATTTTTACAATTGTAACTATTTAATTCAACCTACAAACATTTTTCGGAGATATCACCCGAAATATTTAGTTATTCTTTGGCCAATAAATGTCCATTATTCCTAGGTTTTTAGTTGAGGACGGGGATGAAAACTGAGAACAGGAACAAGTATTTTTATCCTTTTATCGGATAATTTATGTATATAATAGTGTAGTGAAATAACTGACTGACTGACCTACAATTAACGCCCAAATGAAACGGCTGAAGCTAGAATCTTGAAATTTTGCACGAAGGCTAGGCTTGGTGCGTAGGTGTGTGATAAGGCTGGGTTTTTGAAAGTCCATACTAAAAGGATAAGAAAAGTACTAAAATTTGAATAATTTTTATTGGGCAAAGGAAATGAGCAAGAATTTGGTATGAGAGTCACTGATAGAGAGATGCATGATAGATGCAGCAAATTGTTTTTGGAATTTCGAACTCTAAGGTTACGAAATGGTACCAAACTTCTAAAATGGTATGGCTAGGTATTATGTGAAATAATCAGGGCTGTCACAGAAACCAATTTTGTCACTACTGGTTTTAAAAACGAAAAGAAAAAATGATTTGGTGTCATGAAAATCTATGTTATCGGTTTTATATTCGAATTAGAATTTTATCGGTTTTGGTTGTCATAGAAGCCAATGTTATTGGTTTTGTTATTCGAAATAAACCAAGTTGCTTAGAGCTGACACTTTTCATTTGCTTTGGATTTTTAAACAATTTTTAAAGGATATTCAAAGGACTAAAAATGTGGATTTGTTAAACAATTTTTAAAGGATATCCAAAAATGTGGA